TTATTTGCCCAGATTGTTTCTATGATATACTAAATCCTTAGAGACCATAATTATATTTCAGAGATTTCCACATGACAATATTTATGAATCTTCACAGATGTGGTGGTTGAATAAATGATTTAACGTGAAATGCATCTGTTTGTTTAGCTGTGTGTGTGAGTCTATATACATTACATGCAGGTTTTTGATGTGCATGCGGACGTCTTTATGTAAGTGATGTCTCCTGGGCTCTATGTAAGGAAAGCAGATGGTGCCTTGGGTAATGGGGCGAACAAAGATGCTTTTAACAGTGTTGCCATGTTTAATTGATCTGTTCCAGCACACACACGCCGTATCAGTGAGCATTCATCTCTCTGCCTCCTTCACACTTCATGAGGCAGAGCTACAGTGCACACACACACACACACACACACACACACACACACACACACACATACATACAAACACACAGAGAGCGTCGAACCTCATGGGGGCCAGGATGATCTTGTTGAGCAGGTCGTGGTGGAGCTCTTTGGCCACTTTGAGGCCGGTCCACTCCACGGCGACGGCGGTGGCGAGACACAGGACGATGCCCAGGCAGCACAGCACGCTGAACACCGACAGATACCACGAGTGACTGAAACCACAGCCCTGCAGAGAGAGAGGAGGGTATAATAATATAATACAAAACAATAATATCCATATTTGTGTGGCACATTTCACACCTAATTGTAGCTCAAAGTGCTCTAAGCCTTAGGCTTTGCATTAAAAACACACATTAACACAAATTAAAGGGGACCTATCATGCAAAACGCACTTTTGTACGTCTTTTATACATGAATATGTGTCCCCGGTGTGTCAGGGAACTCACCAAGTGTCACAAAACACAACCCTCTCTCTTTTCCTCCATACCCAAATCTCTACAAACGGGGCTGCAACGGATCTGATACAGACTGATCCAGATTTGAACATTTCACTGACATCAGGACGGCGGAGCTCCGCCTATATGGCCAACTCTCCACCTATCAGGGGAATGAGAGGTTGCCGTGGCATGGTAACAGCATGGTAACATGACGCTCGTAACTCGGCCCCCTCCTTTGCAGGGGGGCGTGGTCAGCTGCAGCGCATGCAAAGACAGGGTGGAGGAGAGCAAAATAGAGCGAAATGAGGCATGGCTAAAATACATGATCTGTTTGGTATTTTGAAAAAGAAAACGTATAAATATACTAGGGCTGTCAAGTTAACGCGTTAATAACGCGTTAACGCAAAAAAAAATTAACGCCACTAATTATTTTAACGCGATTAACGCATGTGTATTTTTTGTCCTCGGCCGCCGTAGTTTCAGAGCGCATCGAGTTTAAAATACCATCTACAAGCTGATGCTGACAGCCCCGCTCCTGCTGCCCGCTTGTGGCAGACCACACTTCCACGCTCACCGGCAGGCCCGGACTGGCCATCGGGAGGACCGGGAGGGTGTGTGTATGTGTGGCGCGAGCGAAGCACACCTTACGTGTTGTTGTTAGCATCTGGTGCTAGCTAGCTGAGCTAACGGATATAAGGAGCTGTTTCAATGAAAACAGAGGAGCGACATTTCGCCGACAACTGCGCCGAGCACTTGACTTTATGCAGGTAGCCAGACAGCACACTCAGCACGGATAGTGCCGCAACACAGCTCATACACACAGGCATATATGCCTTGAGCTGCACATAGCTCCAACGATCCTCCACATTCACACACACACACACACACACACACACACACACACACACACACACACACACACACACACACACACACACACACACACACACACACACACACACACACACACACACACACACACACACACACACACACACACACACACACACACACACACACACACACACACTATTGTATGAGAGAGGTTCTAGGTTGAATTGAGGCGAATATTTGTAATGTTCAGAGGTTGTTGTGTTTAATATTCATGAGAATATTTGTCATTGTTCAAATGATAATAAACAAACATATAAAGCATAGTTGTACACTCATATGTTGATAAGAGTATTAAAAACTTGAAAAATATCCCTCTAAGGTACATTTAGAACAGATAAAAAATGTGCGATTAATTTGCGATTAATCGCGATTAACTATGGACAATCATGCGATTAATCGCGATTAAATATTTTAATCGACTGACAGCCCTAAAATATACCTTATATAGGTATGGCCCTACAATATATCATTCAAATATAGCATGATAGGTCCACTTTAAGTGAACTGTCCCAAGTTAAACATTTAAGCTGCTCTTTACATTTTTGTCCGTCCAAAGTTTCATAATGTTATCCTCTTAGGCATATCTCTTCATACCTCTTAGGTGTGTATTAGTATATTGCCACAGCTTGTTTTATTTATAATATTTATAAGAGATCAAATGTACTTTTACTGTGGTCCACCAATTTCTAATCAGTTTATCGTTGAGTCTAAGTGGATGTTTGTGCCAAATTTGAATAACGCTTTATGTGGAGATCGTGTTCAGGTGTTGCACAAGAACAAATCATGAAACATTTAGCAGAGTCTAAGAATGAAATGCACACCTGATGCTCATGCTGGAGGGGAGCAGGGGAGGAGGGGAGGAGAGGAGAGGAGAGGAGGAGGGGAGGAGGAGAAAGGTAAGCTGTAGGCAGTAGGTGATGCTGAGGAGCAGTGTGGGTGAAATCACAAAATCACAAACCTCAAGGCTTACGGTTCTGCACTATGTATGACTCTTGCATTATAAAAGAGTGTAAAATGACCCAAAATGTTAATTAATTACCTTTATGTGCCCTACATTTGGGATGACTGACATACGTTTTTTATTTGTCAGATCTAAAGGTGACAATCCAAGATTTAGATGATAAGAAAGTAACATCACAACCAACCTGTCTTTAAATACACTTAATGATATACTACTGCTTTTGATTTTTACATCAGCAATGCTCTGGGCCTAAGCCTAAAACGTTGTATTTGGTTGGCCAAACCAAATAATTGCTCTCCATTCACATCTTGAATGTTTATAGGAATGGCTGTCTCAGACTTTCGTTGGGCCCGCCCATTGTTATGCTATATCAAAGACAGAGGCTTGTCCCCCTTACAAACATCAGGACTTTCTCCTTTTCTAATCCTGTTTTATTTACAGGCCCTTTTTTCCAGATTCACTTCACTTCACTGTATGTGCTGTTAAAGTGAAGACAATATTTAGGGTAACACTTTACAATAAGGTACACAAAATGTGCTTAGTTACTGAGTAGTGAATAAGGAACGACTAGATAGTTAAAGATGGGGTAGGTAATTTTGGAGAAACCGGCTCGAGTGCGCTAGAATTTGAAAATACACAACCGGAAAAAATCTGCCACTTCCTTACAGAGCCCCTCCTCCAACACACACGAACGCGCACATGACCAATGAGGGCACGAGATAAGTTTGTGCACAGATGGAAGGCTGACAGGCAGGTAGGTCATCCAGTTATTTTAGCCGGGCCGGCTAAAATGATTGGTCGTACTTTTTACAGTATTACGGCTTCCACAGATGACATTTTTTTATGGATTTTTTGTCAAAGCACTTAAGATATTTATTGCTATCGGGATGTTAAGAGCATTCCATGGAATATAACAACTAACTACTCTTTTTGATGCATTACTTTACTTAAGGGGACACAAACTGCTTAAGTAATGGTAAGGTAATCATTAGGTAATGGGTAACTACTCTTTTTGATGCATTACTTTACTTGAGGGGACACAAACTGCTTAAGTAATGGTAAGGTAATCATTAGGTAATGGGTAACTACTCTTTTTGTATGCGTTACTTGAGTTTACCGTACCCAAACTGCCTAAGTAATGGTAAGGTAAGTAATGATGACTTAAGCAGTAACACGTGAGTTGGATCCACATCCACCAGTCGATCCAGTGTGGGACCCAAGCCAGCCGAAGATGGCCGATTTAAAAGTGCCCTGCTGCAGCGCACCATTACACCGGAGTACTTTTACCCGTACTTTTCCGATTTAGTTCCGTTAGTGCCTGGAATTTTGCGTTGACACCAAAAAGAGAACTTAGTTCAGAGAACCTTTACCCCATTTTTAGTGCCTGCTAGAGAGGTGGGACTATCCTGGGGAGAAAAAAGTACCAATTTCTGATTGGCTGGGCGAATTGCAAACCACGCCCCGTAAAACTCGGAAACGTTTTTTTAAGCCGCCATTGTATTTGCTGGCATTAGCATTATTAGCATTAGCCCCGCGCACCAACGGAGAGAGAATAACTTATGGCAACACAAAAAAAAACATGGGAGCGGTGGAGTGATGAGGAGGTGTCGGCGTTCTGGCGATTTACTCGGAAGGCTTCAGTAGAAGCTGCTGAAGCCAGTCCCCAACTCCGGGGACTTCCGGCCGTGGACTTCGGGTGGCAGTATATGCCGTGAAGTTGTTTGCGGCCTGCCAGTAAACCCAAAGCAGAAGAAGAAGAAGGGACGTCAGCGGCTTCATTTGCGTAATCTTCCCTCAGGGAACTTATTCCGGTGTGAACGCGATCGGCTCTTATGCCCTTTTCACACCAACGCGGTTCCAGGGCCGGTTCGGAGCTGGAGCTTGAAAAGCACAGTTTTTTCCTGTTCACACCGCAGCGGAGCCGCCTCTAAGCTCCGGAATCCGGTTTGTTTCAAGCACCAAAAAGTTGTCGGTCTAGAAAGCAAGCACCGCATACGTCACGCTTACGTCGGAGGCGGGGGCAGGGGCAGGGGCAGGGGCATCAGTTTTAATGTTATACCATAGTAATTAATGCTGCAAAGCTGGGTATTTTGAGCTTTTGAATGTAGCATGTAACGACTGTAAAGTTGGTAGTAAAGTCGTCCCATTTCTTCCATTTCGTTTCGACAGAGCAAAACCAAAACGAGTAGCGCTTCAATACAATCGGTCATTGTTGTTGTTGTCGATGTGAGGGGTTTCCGCGCGGTTTGGCTTTATGAAGCAGGCACGCAAACGGTTACGTCATGACGCAAACGATGACGCAATGACGCAGCACCAGTCGGGCTTTGAGCGGTGTGAACAGAGCGAGAGCTGAACCGAAGAACCGGTTCCGAACCAGAAAAGCTCTAGCACGGAGCTAGAACGGGAAAAGCCTTGGTGTGAAAGGGGTATTAGTTCCATGGGGGTACTAAGTGCTGGGAACTAAGTACGGCAAAGTACTTGGTGTGAAAGCGGCTATTGCTTCAATCAAAGTCACCCAGGAACTCCTCATTAACTAACCATTAACGAATCATTCATACAGTACCCCCCAGGCTGTTTACCAGTAACTAACCATCAGTTCTTCAATCGCAGTCACTCATGCCCCTTTCACACCAACGCGTTTTCAGGGACTGCTCGGAGCTAGAGCCTGAAAAGTACCGGTTTTTCCTCTTCACACCGCAGCGGCGCCGCCTCTTAGCTCCGGAATCCGGTTCGTTTCCAGCTCCAAAAAATTGTCGGTCTAGAAGCAAGATTCCGGAGCTAAGAGGCGGCGCCGCTTACGTCTCTCTTACGTCAAGGCGGGGGCAGGGGCATGGGCGGGATCAACCTCCTGAACAACAACAAAATGCCCGCGTTTTATCCAGTTTGTACACAACGATAGCATAGCATAACCAAAGCGAACAGCGCTTCAATACAATCGGCCATTGTTGTTGTTGTCGATGTGAGGGATTTCCACGCGGTTTGGCTTTTATGAAGCAGGCACGTAAACGGTTACGTCATGACGCAAACAATGAGGCAATGACGCATTACCACCCCGGCTCTGTGTGGTGTGAACAAAGCGGGAGCAGAAAAGGGAAACCGGAGCTGAACCAGAAAAGCTCTAGCACGGAGCTAGAACGGGAAAAGCGCTGGTGTGAAAGCCGCATCAGGAACTCCTCATTAACTAACCATTAACAAATCATTCATTAATACAGTACCCCCCCAGTCTGTTTACCAGTAACTAACCATCAGTTCTTCAATCGCAGTCACTCAGGAAATCCTCATTAACTAACCATTAACTATCTAGTCGTTCCTTATTCACTACTCAGTAACTAAGCACATTTTGTGTACCTTATTGTAAAGTGTTACCATATTTAGTTTTACAACTCAAGTTAGCAGCCTGGCAGATTCACACAGTGTAAGTCATGTGCCAGAGTTTGTTTTTTGACAGTAGCAGAGGACTTCTGAGTGGCCCACATTACTCAGATTAGATAAACCTGGCAAATCCTCACCGAAGCTCAGCCAAACAACGTGTCCCTGGCATTGAAGCGACAGTGTTCACTTGTACAATTTGTAAATGTGTGTGTGTGTGTGTGTGTGTGTGTGTGTGTGTGTGTGTGTGTGTGTGTGTGTGTGTGTGTGTGTGTGTGTGTGTGTGTGTGTGAGAGAAAAGAGAGGAAAAAGAGAGACGAGTGCTCCACTAGCACCCCAACCCCCCCGTTGACGCTCGCGAAACAGAGGGCCAGGGACGGCCCTGCATGTGACCGGCGCAGCTTAACCTTCGCTTGACTGTGTGTGGTAACTCTGCTTTTCTAAATGTGTGTGTTTTCTGTGTGCTTGCAGGTGCAAGTTAAAGACGATATTGGGAAAGAGGTTGCTGATAATAAAGCAAGCTTTAAATCGTATATATTTCATATCAGTTGCGCCGTTTATAGAATTCTGGGCAGAAAGCTTATTTATTTGTAATATTTATAATTTTCTGCAGGTATTTGAACAAATCTACATGAATCAAACTGCATTTTTACATTTCCCAGAAGGACTTTTTCATCAATGCATTCTTGTTTCTCTAGCATGCAGATGAGTCTGAGCTGCAGCTGCTTCAGGCTGCGTTAGCAAACGCTTCATCTGGAGCTGGCAGAGTATGTGTTTAAGGTCAGCTCCACTCAACTGAGACTCACAGGAGACTTAGTGAGAAAACCGTTCTGTAATTTCCCTCCAGCATGCTCTCAAAAAAGGGATTATCTGTTTACTCTTTTAATATAGAGTTTGTTTAAAATACGGTTTACAGTCTTTATTTTCCATATTATGGAAACATTCGCAAAAGCTTGTAGAATAAGGAAAATGTATTATTTTTAATTCATTTTTATCACTTTCCACTGACATAGAGCAGAGTGAATGCCTGGGTATCTATGAATAGATGTTTTTATACTGTAATGTTGTGTCACTTCTTTTGCTTTATATGTAATGTATTCAGTCGCAGAGCTTGCTCTCAATGGCCTTAGTTATGATTATTATCGAATGCGTAGCTGGTATATTTAATACATTTTCAAATATCCAAAACTATTAACAGAATGTGTAGCTAGACGGGATAATAATTCAAAATAAAGTTGTAAAACTACGTTTCTTTTCTTTTTTACTATTCCAATGATCCCCTGGTAAACACACCAGATAAAGCACAGAAGGAGAAAAACCAATGGATTGTCATTAAGACGCTTCAACTACAGATCTTTTTTTTAAATGTCTGATTTATTCATGTCGTCTTCTAGACAGTGAAAATGTATGACTGCAAAAACTGCTGATCAACATAATGTTTTGGACAGATAACAACAAATCAATACAATCACAAACCATGTTCTGCCTCACCTGAACGTCGGTGCAGTTACGAGCTGTTGCTAAGGTCTTGGCGGCGATGACGTGTGACGTCCAGTGGGCCAGCCAGTAGTCGATGGCGACCATGAGGGTGTGTTTGAGGAGCTGGGACAGGAGGAGCAGGGTGAGCAGGACGACCCCGGCGGAGGACAGGTAGGTGCCGCAGGAGCGCCAGGGGATGGTGGCGCGGTGACGCATCGCCTGGGACATGATGTCTTCATCGTCGCTCTCCTCCAAGGACTCCTCTGGGATCAAGACAGAGAAATGTTCAAATGTTTCAGAGTGGTGGTTCAGTGTGAATTATAGAGTTGTGTCGGATAACATTATCGCATTTTATAATACGTAATAAAAGCTATTGGTACTTTACATATAAGATTATTTCTGCATTTACCTGTGGACTCCAGTGAGTACTGCTCAAACTGTTTAACTTTTCTGACATTCCTCCTCTTACCCTTCTTCCTAGAAGTATTATTATTGTTATTCTATTTCTTTCCTGTTCTGTCACCTTTTCTGAGACATTTCTTCGTTTTTTCCCCTTGTATCTGTCTAAACAACAACTCCTAACCCAGAAAAGGAAACCAAATAGGACATATTCTACAAGCCACATCATCTAATATCATGTTTTCAACACCAAGCAAATGTTCATTCCCATGATTGAAGTGTTTTTCAGGGGTAATGAAGCAGCCATGAACCGCTGGCTGGGGATTAGGAGCTAATGGTAATGACCTACCGCCTCCTCCCTTCCCCTGTTGTAAATATAAATCGCATCACATCATGCAGAAAGGTCTGGAGCATGAGGCTGCTCCAGGGGGTCTACAGGCTGTTAGAGAGGAAGCCGGAGGGTAGAGGAGAAAAAGAAAGGGAGAAGATGACTGACTACTACAAGAAGATTCGGAGACAGTTGCTTCCGGGCAGTGAGACTGTTAAACAATTGAACTGCTGAAACAACTTCAAAAACATTCATCTGCTACTCAGTAATATGTATCTAATATCTAATATATATCATTCCAATAACTTGTATATAGACTCGTACTGCACTATTCCACATGCTCACTTTATTTTATAACTATTTTCTTTTTGTATTGCTCTTGCTATCTGTATTGTTATTATGTTGCATTGTTGGAGAAGCCTGTGACATAAGATTTTCAACAACATAATTACTCTGTAGCTATGTCAGTTTGACAATAAAGAACCTTGAACCTTGAACCTACTGCAACTACTATTATCTACTGTGCACCATGCTGGCATTATGTTAAACTTGAGGAGGTGGAGGGACAAATGATTGGGGAAAAAATGTGAAGGGAGACAACACAGAACACAAACAAAGAGTACAGCCACTGCAGCTTAGCACCTCCTCTGCACAGTTAACAGCAGAGATAAACAGTTAAAGGATTATAGTCGGTGTGAAGCACGAGGCTGTGAGAGAGAGAAGGTGCTGATATATCTGTTTGCTGAGAAAGTCAAAAAGACATGAGACACAAAGACAAGAAGAAAGTCTGGAGCATTGTAAAGTTTGCATTTGGGATGGAATACATTAAGAACAGACAGTTACTGTATGCAAATCATTCAAATAAATGCAGCAGGACATTCAAATGAAGTGGATGAGCTTAAGCTTTTAGAGTAAGAGGTGCTGCTCCTCGGCAAATAGACACAACAGGAGAAGATAAATGATATTCTGCCGTTATTATTAAGCTGAAGTCGGTAAATGAATGACTGCAGTTGTATGTCAGCATGCAGTTTTTTCCTGTAACCGCTCACCTTCCTCGTCCTCTTCAGTCCTGGCAGCATCTCTGGAGTATATGGCCCTCCGCAGGTTCTTCCTCTCCATATCTGTCATACTCGCTGCCTCTGTCTCCTGGAGGATAAATACAGATAAATACATGAGTCTCCTGAGAATACTGAAGGGTCAAATCTGGTGAGACAATAAGCAAACATCCAGGTATTCAAACTGTCATTCCCAGCAGCATGGGATTGTTTGCACCTCTCCAGAATCTAAAAGTGTTTTATCAACAAAAAAGCAAAGATTTTAAAGTCACTAATGATTCATTAGCCCTTTAAATGTGCAGTCATTAATCACCGACTCAAACTCCTGGTCCTTTCTGTTCATCAGGGTTTTCCACTGCTCAAAGAGGTCGGACTCTGAGTTCTGGATGTCTTTCAGAGTCCCTTCAGCCTGGATAGTGCCATCCTTCATGGCAATGATCTAATAAAAACATACAGAAAGGTAGATAGCAGAAATGAAATCTTTAGTATTAGGACACATTGGAAAAGAGGTTGCAAAAATCTGGGTTGTTTCTGACATAAACAGTCTGCATCCCAAATGAAGTAATATAATGTTTACATCATGAATAATATAACACTATTACAAGGGAACAATCAATTACTGTAACTAGTTAAGAGTAAAGAGTCTGTAAACCTGCTGTTTATCCAGTTAAAGAGGCCCTATTATTGTTATTTGGGGTCTCCCTTGCCTGTAGTGTGTTATATCGGTCAGTTTCTCTGCCACACACTCCCCCCCACTTCAGTATAATAGTAGCATCATTATGTTACACTCGTGCTTCTGGGCGAGGGGCTCTGGTTTCAGACAGAGGGTGAAAAGATGTGCTGCATCACAGACAGGATGAGAAAAATAAAGACCTTTTTGAACATTAAAGCATGTAAACATGTCACATTAGAGGCATAAAATACAATTAATAAACCTGACAATTAGCATAACAAGGCCCCATTAAATCAATAGCTGGTCATACCCAGTCTGCGTGTGGGAGATACTGAAGTTTGTGAGTGACCAACACCACCGTCCTCTTCTCCTCTCGAAGGAGCTTGAGGATGCCGTCCTGCATCAGATGGTCACTCAGGTGGATGTCTAAGGCAGAGAATGGGTCATCCTAAAAAAAAACATAAACCGTCATTACAAAGATTAAGAAATCACAACTTAAAAAACAACATTCAAAGTTAGAGTTTTGTGTGTGTTATTGCGTGGTTCCAGCTTTTGATAGGATTAACAGTTGTGTTCGTTGTCATATATGAGTGTCACTTTATCATCTTACAACTTTAGACTTTATTCAGACTAAACAAGAGAATGAACAACATCACTGTGGCATCTTAGAAATTGTGAATAGAATTTTCCTTACTTTTTTCTAACATTTTATAGCCTAAAATATTAATTAAGAAATAATAATCCGTCAGAAACTGACATTATCAAACTGACATTTAAAAGTTTCATTAAGCTCCTCAGCCCTGCAGCTCAGCTTTAGAAAGTGTTACCATTTGTGTCACGTATGAAGGCATCACTAAAAGACTCACATCAGAGTTCTTATTCAAGTTTCAAAAACGACATTTCACTTTGAATACAGAATGTGTGCTAACAAGGTTGATTAAAGTGCAATCCAAGAACTAAAAACCTTCTTGTGAGATGTGTGTGTGTGTGTGTGTGTGTGTGTGTGTGTGTGTGGTGTGTGTGTGTGTGTGTGTGTGTGTGTGTGTGTGTGTGTGTGTGTGTGTGTGTGTGAAGACTCACCAGGAAGACCACGTTGGTCTGTTGGTACAAAGCTCTAGCTACGCTGATACGCTGTTTCTGTCCCCCCGACAGGATGATACCCTGCGCCACAGGGCAGACAACTTTATTACACGGTTTTACTAGAAAGAAGGATGAACATGATTACATCCATAAATGCATGTGGCATTTAGCCCCAAAGTTTATTTCCAGCATGAAGAAATCTAACATGACAGTTCTTCGGCAGAACAAGGTCAGTCCAGCTCCCTACATATAAAACATCCTGGCTGCACAGTAATGATGACAAGTGATTCTGCAGTACAGTAAAGCACAGTGGGAGCATTGGGAACAAAAAGAACACAGAAAATCCTAAATGTTACTGTGATACTGACCCGCTCCCCGATCTCTGTCAGCTCCCCCTGTGGAAGGATGTCAATGTCAGGCTGGAGGGAGCAGGCCTCGATCACAGCATTAAACCTGCCGGGCACAAACAGACAGAATTCAAATGAGGACAGCTGCTAATTCAAGCCAGAAGGAAACTATGGGTCTGCTCATTATTAACCTCACAGCTAATAGCATTGACAGTAAATGAATATGAATGATACATATCTTACATATAACTTGCAATTAGGTATGCTCAACACAACCAAAAAAGGCTGAACACAGCCTTGAAAACTGAAAATAAACATTGTATGTGACGGGACTACGGATGGAAACTAGCTCAAAGCTAAAATCCGGCTCATTTACATTTAAAAACATTATTTTGTTTAAAATGTTCATTAATGTGCACTGTCAAATAAACAATTAAATTAAAATGAAGGAGTTTGAGCTGCCTTTATTGATCCACATGAGAGATTCAGCGCTTGCTTTATCAGACTTTCTTCACCAGACACACACAGACACAGAATAAGAGGCAGATTCAAAAAGCACAGAGTCACAATGGGAAAAAAAGTTCATTGCTGCATCAATCAATAATTCATGTTTAGATTTAAATAAATCACATGTTGTTTATTAAATAGCATTTCATTTCTATATATTATCCTTATGAAATGATACCCACAAGATCTTCAAACTTACGGCGACAACATGATAGGTTGACAGTTTAGTGATTCAATAATAATGTGCCACAGCCCAGAAAAGGTAAATTATTCCTGTTTTAAGTAGTCTGCAAAATGTATCCATCTTTCCATAACCTGATGAATCTTTATGAGATTATTAATGAACGGGATGTGCCCTCACCAGCTGAATATATATTTTGAATCCAAATCCAACAAATTACAAAATCCCCATGAATAGATTTATGAATTCAGAGTCACATAATGGTTTTGTTTTGAATAAAGGAACCAGTCATATATTGCAGGACAACATGCCTACCTACCTATGGCACACATTAAGCCGCAAGCCTGCAATGGAGATGGACAAGTTCATATGACAATATTGTGTTAAAGCTGCAGTTGCTGATGTTCAGTTGGTTTATTATTGTGTGACTTGTTAATCATCTTTGTTTAGCGTATTAGCATGCCACAAACAGAACACCACTATTTAGATGATGGATTAAGAAAAGGAATGTCAAATTGAAAGACAGTCAGGCGCCCAGCTAATAACATGTTCACCCATAAAGGAAGAGTTGAGCCTTCCAAGCCAAAAATGATGAATCAGGTGCAGATATTTCTTTTTTCAACTTTAATTTTTTTAAATGCGTGCTTGGACTGCAACATGATCGAAAGAAAGAAAGATACTTTAATATCTTTTTTTGGAAACACCTCGTGCTGAATCCCAAGTGATTTGGCTCCTCTGGATCTAACCAGAACATTAAGTGACAGAAGGAGAGGATGGGGGGGCGTGAGAGGAGTGTGAAGAGAAAGACAGAGGAGACAGCGAGGAGAAGCAGCGCAGGTTGGGCAAACATATCCCCAGCAACAAACTATAGCGACCCATTAGATGTAGTTTTAAAAAAAAAACAGTCCATTAGAGTCAGAGAGAGCCTGGCCATAAATCAGAGCAACTAACCTTTCAAAAAGAGCATTTGTTGTAAGGATACAAACTGTGAGCGTGTGCCTCTTTGTTTGAATGTAAGTCATTACATGAGAGTGTGTTTGTTTTTGATTGTGCCCACGCAGGTGAAAACAGCATATGTTCTTGAGCCAGGAGGGAGTGGAAACTGTGATGGACTCCAAGTGAAGAGACACAAAGACAAATCCTGGTTCGCAGGGTCTGTGTGTCAAAACAGGTTAACTGGGAAGTCCCCAACTGGCATCTTTTACTGGATTCACAGTGTTGACTTCAACAGACATCAACACATCCAATTTACCCCGGTGGCCTCAGGGAAAAGGAAGGTTATTGGCTCTAATTTGTCTTAACAGCATGGCCTGGCAACACATTGATTACTCTACTTTAACTACCAACTCATTTGAAAGGAGAATGTCCTTAGACAGTTTGTTTAACTTAGATTAAGGTGTCACAGCGACTGCAATTAAGCAACAAAAGAAAGTTCAGTAATTATTGTGGGGATGACAGCTTACGCACAGTGGTTACTAATGCAATAGTACATTCTGGAGAAAAGTTAACTTGGAGAGAGTCATCAAACAAAACTAAGGAAAAGAGATGAAAACAGGTTGTTTGGAGGCAACCTTGTCAAATCAACCCACCCAATTGTCGGATTTGTAGACTTAAAAGTAATACAATCTTATTCAATAGCCGGGCAGGTCTTTAATAAAGAGTATGATCTTTCTGAGTTTCTGAAAGGTGAGCTGGTCCATGACTTTATGGTCAGGTTGAATAAGTGTGTTGTTGGAGGAGCCTGCGACTGAAGCTTCTGTGCATTTCACAATAAAGCCTTTGAATGTTGAAGGCTACCGTTTTTAATGCTGTTAGACTAAGATGTTTTTCTGATTATAAGTTTACCACATTGATACTGAATGAATGAGAGTAAACTGAATAAAGCCAAAAGACCCCACTTTGAATATGTATGAACTGCAGTCTGTCATCCACACAAACATACAAAAAACGTTTTCTTTAAGCATCTGGTATTTCAGCTTGTAAGAAAATGTGCTTTAGGCACTTTCCTATAGCAGCACATCAATAATGAATTACATGTTTTGGTTGTTGCAGCGGCTGTGGAGAAGCTCAGCAGGTATAACTTTTTATACGGCTCAGGAGGTAGAGCGAGTTTCTACTAGTTAGAAGATTTGCTCGTCACGAATCCGAAACAGAACTTCCTCCAGAAAGCATTCCCATCGGTGTGCGGGTGCATGAGGAGCATTAGATCCTGATCAGTAGTTTGGTACCTTGCATGGCAGCCCTGATGTCAGTATATTGAATGTAAATGGCTCAATGCTGACATAAATAAATACAAAGTCAGCAAAAAAAAAAAAAAGAGTTCATTTATCATGCATTTTTCAAGAGTCTGGTTTGGTGCAGGGAAGTTTTCCTACCTAGGTTTGATCATGGGCATCTCGAAGGTGATGTTCTCCACCACGGTGGAATTCAACAGCCAGGGCTTCTGGGAGGCATAGCCCACAGCGCCTCTCTTCCTACCAGAGGTTTTAAAACACATGCAGAAGTTTCAAACAATCAATAATCTGCTCTCAATCTTAACATTTGATATCGTATCATTTGTTTTGTTTAAGAAACTTAAGGAACTATTCAACCTCCGGACACAGGGACTCTTTAATAATGCATAACAATAATAAAAAGAATACCTGATGAATAAAAAAAACGTCCTGGAGACTCATAGTGATGTGTTTGTAAAGTAATCTGAAGGTCATGGGTGAATATGTGAGCAGACGGAATATCTTATTCTCTATTATCTTCTTCTGGATAAGCTTAAAAATGGCTTTTCTGCTCCACTGATCACAGTGATGTGTCTCCATGGAAACGCCCCGATTTTAACTTGTTATTGTCTGAGCTCACCTGATTTCTCCGTCACCTGCAGCATCTCTTTCTGTGGGGCTGCAGAGGAAACACACACACACACACACACACACACACACACACACACACACACACACACACACACACACACACACACACACACACACACACACACACACACACACACACACACACACACACACACACACACACAGCATTAATTGGGCAATACAGTTCCCTCTGAGATGAACACAGTATTGACTCCACCTTCATGCTGTAATGATTAACACAAAACAAACACTAACCCATATCACCCCCCCCCCTCTCCATGGCAATCATGTCACTGCCCTACATGAACACATCTATCATTAGCTGTGATCTTATCCTCCCTGAAAATAACGCCCACCACCCCCTCGAATTTTTTCTTCCTGTAATTTGCTGATATGGAATTCAGCGCCAGCCTGTTTGGCGCAGTCGGTTCTCAGAGGATCTGATTCCTCGGGCTGAGATAAGTGTGTCAACACAGCGGGGGGGGCCGGGGCTGGCTGTTGCTGTTGTTGGTATCCTGCTCATCTAGTGTATGTGCTAGTGTATGTAGTCTCTGTCAGCAGCTACGTCTTCATTGGGTTAAATACTGAGGTAGATATTTGAGAGTTTGTTTTGTATACATATATTATTTTAATTTAAAAAAAAAACACCCTGACTTTATTACAGTAATATATGAACAGTGATCTTGTGTATAAACCATGACAATAATTATTTCAAGGAATGTGACATAGCGTGTTTAATATACTCAATCTTTAATTGACATAACAATATTTTGTTTACATCTCACACTTTAACTTTCACTGTGCTCTGACTATAAGAGTAAACAAGTTATTATTTTTGTGTAATTAACAACGTGTGCATACTAAGCCGTTTTTTTCATTTTATCTGCACGATCTGCTGTTGTAATCATGTCAATTTCCCCTTTGCGGGTCAAATAAAGGATTTCTGATTCTGAAATGTGCTGCCCTACTGTAAACTGTCACTCACCACACAGTTCTGGTTTCTCTGCACACTCACACCCATACAACATTATGCTATCAATAGACAGAGATCTAAAAGTTTCCTTTTTAGTCAGTGACAAGACAGCAGCTGTCAAATGCTCACTGATATACTTTTGCCAATTGTGGGGTGTTTATGTGTTTGTTTGTGTGTGCATGTCTCTGTGTGTGTGTGTGTGTGTGTGTGTGTGTGTGTGTGTGTGTGTGTGTGTGTGTGTGTGTGTGTGTGTGTGTGTGTGTGTGTGTGTGTGTGTGTGTGTGTGTGTGTGTTCAAAATAGTTAAAGACATGAACAGCATGGCCAGTTGTATTACAAACACGAATCCACAATGTGCTAAAATGACATTAGCATTAGCTAAACCAGCAGTGACAATTAGTATCTGTTAACAAAGGCTTATCTTAAAGACTACTGTCTTATGTGCAACAGCTGAATCAAACCTCTCAGCAACAACAGTGCACTGCAATATGTTTGCAATTAAAATATTCCTGTTATCCATGCTACAAATATTTTTCAATGTGTTTGGCTGCTACAGACTTTGTCCTCAGGAGGCAATTTCAGATATTCATGCAGGTTTGAAATTGGCCTTTACAGCACAACTAAAAATACATGTTGGCACTGATTTATGGTTTTATTTCTCTTTACTCACCTTTCATATCCCTCTGATTCCAGGTTTGGTAGGCTGTGGAAACCAGAGAACAAAAGTATATAAATGGAAGTGTATCTCACAATTCTGCAATTATTCCTCAACACATTTAGTAAAAAATACAGGTAAAACTTCCAGAAGCCAGAAATTAATTATTGGGCTTGGGGATTCAATTGGAAAAGGCCATACAATTAACTTAAACTGTTATTTTAGAATGTGTGCACATATACAGTACATACCGCACATGCACATAACCATTCACATTCACACTCAAACTCTCAAAGTCATTAAGATCTTATTGGCCGCTCAGTGCAGCTGCAGGGTATTTTTAGGTTTCCAAAGTTGACACCTCTCTCGTCCTGAGAAGGTGACTCTTTCTGAGGACAACCAGAGAGTTTCTGCCGCAGCTCGAACATCCCAGCTGCTCAGAAAGAACTACTAACTTACAAGGAGCTCTGACACGCCACAAACAAACATGTCAACAAAACAGTCTGAAAACACCCCTTGAGAAAATCACCTCATCAGACCTAATCACCTAATGACACTCGAAAGACATTGAAGTCTGAATGGACGACTGATTGTCTTTATCCTGCAGCCTTTGTAAAAACAGTGTAATCATGTCAGAGTTGAGGATAAACAGTTTTAGTCTGCGACTGAACACTGAAGGCTATTTCCCCCTCAATCAACACCTTTAAAGTTGCAATGTCATGTGTGAATCATACAAAACAGTTTCTATCAGCAGCAAGAAATTCAGGTCTGATGAATTTCCAACCGTTTCAAACTGAATTTAATTTACTTTAACATCCTTCATTAAAACATAAAGTCATTTTATGATGACAGGGGTTATTATTGCGTGTGTATTGTGATGACCACCCATGACAGCAACAAACATTCATTTTAATCTCCTTAAGATGTTTGCTTGCTTTTCTTGTTTTTTAATAGTAATAACTGAAACCCTTAGGGGTGTCAAACTCAATTTCATCGCGGGCCACATCAGCATTATGGTTGCACTCAAAGGGCCGGTTGTAACTTTAAGACTATACAAATATACATATATAAATATATAATATATATAAGTCTCTTCAGTGTGCATGTAACAAAATGAGATGCATTGTGGGGTATGTCGTTTATGGGCAAGGTGCTTCTTTAAAGCGGCATGTAAGCGTATAATAAACATATTATATTCTTTGCAAGCTCTTGCGGGCCACATAAAATGAGGTTGAAGGCCGGATTTGGCCTGCGGGCCTTGAGTTTGACACCCCTGCTTTAGACTCTCTGGTAAACACTCCTGTCCCTCTCTCGTTAGGAGCACGGGGTCATTCAGTTTATGTGTTGCAGTTAATTACTTCATCTTACAACAGATAATCTTTCAACACACAAGCTATCCAACCTGCACTGCTTCGACTGGATACTGTGGTCAAGCTAGAAATAGTCGTCCACTTTACTGACAGAGAAACCCCAGACACCCCCTGCTCTGGGCCATGTTTGGAGCGCAGGGGGACAAGAGGGAGCAGGTGGCTGAGGGAGAGAGTTTGTTGCTCAAATTGGGGTCAAACTGATGGAAATGACAGGTTGCGTTTATAAAATATGGCACAGTAAACACTTCAACCCCCCCAAAGGAAAAAGGTCTCCCTTCATGACCTGTAATTTGATCCACTAACAGGTTTTGCTATATCCGAAACGTAATCATAATGTACATGACACTGCACCGATGAGAACGATCATGAGAATTAATCAAAAGCTCCAGAACAGCTTCTTTTAGAGGTGAGACTTTTTTGTCGTAACCAAAATAGTTTGAGAGGCTTGATTATATAAACACATGGAGCACAGTGAGCTCAGGCTGAGCACCATCAGCTGATCAGAAACAGCTGACGCTCAGGGCCACCCGTCATCGCTCACTCTCCTGATTAGTCAGGCTGTTTCCCCCTGCCAGGCCCACGCTGATCTCATTCATCTCCTTACTGACTTTCATCTCAGTAGTTTATTTTGCCGCTCTTCTGCTCCCACATTCCACATCGCAGAAACTCCGTTCAAACATCAAAACGTTCAGCTCGGTCGGGAATCGATTGCTATTACTTTTCTCATTCATAACTTTCATAATTCCCGAGATATATCCCATAATTCATCAAATGTTTAACATGGAAGTCAATGGAGAAACTCTTCAGACTTGAAAAATCTGCTTCAACTGCTAACTGTTCCTTCATACTTTCACTCAGAAACCTCATTCCAACTTTAAAATGTTACACATCTTTCTGACATTATTCGTGTTACACAACTTTTAAATCCGATTCATACTTTTAGAGATATTATACATTGTTCAGACCTTGGTAAAAAGGCCTTCTTCAGATTTTAACATTAGTGTGTATTGCGCTGCGCACTCGTTAAGGCTAGAGTGCGTGATGTCACAACTAGAGTGGAGGACAGCTTGACATTTGCCTTCATATTTTTTTTTAAACCTGCCATAATTCCCAAACCCTACACTCCTGAGACATAATCTTTCATGAGAAACGTAGGAAAACATCTCGTAGCTTGAAAAATAAAAAATAATGAAGCAAAATAATTCAACAAAATGCCTCTTGAGGGCATGAAGTGACAAAAACGTTCAACATGTCTCCATTAAAGCCCATTGTACATTCAGACTGATTTTTCCTCACAGCAGCAGCAGCCGCACACCTTTAGTTAATCTACCAAAAAGGCCACATTATTGACCCGAAAGTACACAAAAAGCACTGATTACTGCACATCACCATGGAAACCTTTGATCTCTGGGCTCAAGCGCAGGTGTTTCATGACGTCGTTAGCTCAAATATAAACACCTGTGTCATGGAACACGATGATGTCATAACTCCAACTGACATGCTCAGAATGCCACAAAACATCACATGATGGTTAACACTGTGGCCCTGAACAGCTCTACATCAAATCTGATGTTACGTAATGTTGTGTTACTATGGCAACAACGCATCCCTCGCCATAAAACACGATGTCGCTGTAACTCCAATGGACACGGTCCGATCGTCCCCCAATCTTCACCTGTATATCACCTCTCCATGCCTCAACAGCTCTACGTCAAATCTGACATCTCACCATATGCCGTTTCCCTCGCCAAAAAACACGATGTTGTCGTAACGCCTATGAAAAGGGTCAAAACAGCACCAGACTTCCGATAATGGTTAATGGTCCAGCCCTCAACAGCTCTATGTCAATTATGGGGTGTCATCATATGCCGTTTCCATGGAAACGCATCCCTCGCCATAAAACACGATGTTGTCGTAACTCATATGAAAATTGTCAAAGCAGCACCAGACTTCAGATGATGGCAAATGGTCCAGCCTTCAACATGTCTATGTGCCATTAGTGAGTTTTCCTCAAAAGCTGTTTCCATGGCAACGCATCCCTCGCCGTAAAACACGATATTGCTATAACTCCTATGAAAATGGTCAAAAAGTGCTCAAACTTCACATGTGTGCTAACAGTCCAGCCGTGACGACATCTACGTGACAGTTTTGAGATTTCTTCAAATACCGTTGCCATGGTAACACAAGGCTCGCCATGAAACACGGTTTTCTCATAACTTCAGTGAAAATGCTCCAAACGGCCCAAACCTTCACAGGTTTGGTAACGATGCAGCCATCCACACATTTAAGCGTATTATGGGGTGTCATCAAATGCCGTTGCCATGGCGACAGATCACTCGCCATCAAGTTAGTTCAAAAGTTTGCAGTTCAAATATTCTGCTGCTTTTCCAAGCCTTTTTACTTTCTTTTCTTATCTTATCCCACATTCAAGCCCCCAGTGTTCATGTATCATTTAAATCTAAATTCTTCACTTTCTTCTTACACATTACATTTCAGCATAGCAGTTTAGCATCAGCTTTTCAGCATAAAGCATTCCCACTTGCAATTTCTTCAGGAATTGCATTCTCTAGTTTGTTCCTGCTGTTTTCTCTTAGCTCTGAATCTGACGTCTACTCGCAGTTCTTTACCCCCACAAGATGAAACATTTCATAATTTGTAGCTGTTAGTTACTGACTGAAACACAGCTTGACAATAAAAACAACAATCATGGCAGAAATGAATATGTCTGCATGATAAGTGAGAGTGCTCGGGTAACAGAACATGAGAGGGAGTGCCAGCATAGCACTGGCATCAGGAATGAGGGAGGGAGTGTGTGAGAGTGTGTGAGAGTGTGTGTGACTGCCAGGGACACTGGGCTAATCAAGTAGTGGGAACTCAACTCTGCTGACAAATTGATATTGATGGTGGCGCTCTCCTGGCCAGATGACAAGACACTCAGATGCAGGAGACCGCATCCAGTGGGATACGAATATTCAGCTGAGCTACTTCAAATTTATATATATCTGTTGTAATTTATTGTCTTTTATTGTGATTGTAGTAATGTGTTTTTATTACATGTACAGCACTTTGGCTCGACCAAAAATCGCTTTTAAATGTGCTTTATAAATAAAACTTGATTTGATTTGATTTGACTTGAAATGAATTCCACTTTTCTAGATCCAATAGCGGGACTTTCTCAAAAACAGAACAGAGGTTCCATCTGAGCAAAGCAATTATTAAGTGAAACAGTCCACACAGGTAGGCCTAAGTGCAATCACAAAATGTACTGAACATATTACAATCAACTGGGGGTCAGTACAACACCACTCTCACTGACACATTTTAAACTCAGAGTGAAAACTGTGGGTGGGAAACATTTTGTAGGACAACTGACCAACAAAGTAACCTATAGAGGTGTTGGCTTCAGCTAGAAACAGTAAGTGGATTTAGGATTAGCTTAAATTGCATAAAACTGCTTGTTACTCAGACATTTCCACCAATCCTGGGGGAATCACTTTAGCTAAAAAGTCGGGGAATCCATGAATAACAATCACTTTTGTTCAGAGTGCCTTACAATATGTGCATTAAAACACCAAATAAATATGAGCTAGATGTAGTCCAGAGCTTCAAGATAATTTTCTAAAGGAAATGAGACGTTAGTGTGTGCTATCATTGCATGCATTGCGTCATCTGAAAATGTGTTTCCAGCAGCAGTTGGGGTTGTTTTACTTTATCTCATGTCAGTGTTGCGTTAAATCTCCCCTCAGATTCTCTCAGTGGCCATCAACTGGCGGCCCGCGGGCCAAATCCGGCCACCAGACATTCTCATCCGGCCCGGTGACTGTGGCGTTGGCAGAGTGGTTAGTGCCCCCCACTCATTTTTTTTGAGACAGTAGAATGCGTACTGCGTAGCTTTCCCTGCCCTGAAGAACAAGTGATCCTTCGCGAAGAGTCTGCTTTATGGGCTCCGCAGCAGTAGCTCCGGCGACTTCACAGTACATGCACCCCCCCCCAACAGAGTCCAACAGAGAGGCAGCAGCTGCGGGGCAGTAGCCTGCGTACTCAGACCCGGCGCCGTGGGAGGGCCAGGCCCTCCCATTTGACATTCCTGCCCTCCCCCGATAAACACGTTTTTTATTATTTATAAAAATGATTTTTTTATTTTTTATTATAAACTGTGAACTTTAATGCTACGATGTATGTGATGTAAGATAGTAATATAAGAGTAATACATGAAAAACAGGTATGAAATACTATATGACAGTAAAACAAGAATACAGTTTAAAAGGCGAGTGATTTGTAAAATATCCATAAAGAAATAGAAAATCGGTTTACAGTTCTGTTTCATATGGGTGTTGAGAGATGTATCAATAGATCTCTTAATTTTGCTCTCAAAGTGCACCAGATTGATGCTTTTAAAGGGCCCATGTCATGCTTTTCCGGTTATTACCCGTCCCCTTGTGTGTTATGAAGGTTTTTCTGCATGTAAACGGTCTGCAGAGTCAAAAACCCTTAAAGTACACCCTGTAGCGAGTAAAACTCTAACACAGAAAAGACCTGTCTATGCTGCCCCAGAACGCCTCATTGGAGATTTCTCATTTTCCATTGTTTTCTTCCTGGGTTCTGTGACGTGTGAATACCCAAATCAACAATAAATGACCGGATTGGCCCAAATGGACCAATCCGTGGAGCACCTCACACACCAGGATCCCTTAGCTAACTAACAGGGAGTCCCCATTGACTTGTAGAGCTCCCTGAACGCTGGTAATAGACGAGTTGGGATCGCGGAGAAATGCTCTCCGCAGACCCATTCTCACAGTGTTATAAACCTTTTTCTTACTCAATATCAAGCCACACTTATTGTTTTTACTTCGGCTGTGAGTGTTTGTGTGTGCTCAGGATGAGTTTCGCTGTGTCTCTCTGTATCGCCGACCCGGAAACCTGTCCGCTCCTCGCAGCAGCTCGCAGCAGCGGCGAGCAGCAACGAGCCTCGCAACGTCCCGACCAATCAGAGCACACTGGGCTCACAGGGAGGGGGGGCAGGAGCTCCAACAAGCCGTTTAGGACAGAGAGTGAATACCTGGTGAATATACATACTATACAGAGATGCTGTATGAGAAACCAATGTGATTTTGGAAAATTGCACAATTTAAATCTATTCTAGTAAACCTCAACAATGGAAATATGATCAGTAAAAATGGCCATGACATGGGACCTTTAACTTCAATATTAAAAAAATAATCTTCCCGGGGGACCATGCCCCCGGACCCCCCTAGAGAAGGTTAAGTCCGCCCCCCACTTAAAAAAAATAGCACTTTACCCTTGCTTACACGTATATGCCGTGAGCTGATTATCGAGCCTTCATTGTAACAGTCGCGGGTGTACTGTATGTGCGTGTGGGGAGTGTTGCAGTAGAAAATTCCACTGTAGCGCCCGGTACATTAATGGGAAACCCTAAATGTTTGAGCACCCTCTATGAAACGTCAAGCTACCCCACAGCACCCCCAAAAGAAAATCTCTGGCGTTGACACTGGCCGCGGCATATGACGGTTTTGTGTGCCCTCCCATGAAAATCATATGCCCTCTCTGTAGATTTGTTCTGGCGCCGGGTCTGTGCGTACTGCGTAGCCTTCCCTGCCCTGAAGAAGAAGTGATCCTTCGTTAGTGTGAAGAGTCTGCTAAGCTTTATGCGCTCCGCAGTACCTGAGCGTGCTCCATTAGCACACCCCCCGGTCAACAACTTCAAAATGTTGGGCTATATATAAAAATCGCTGGCCCGCGAAAGTGTCTATTGGATAAATGTTGGCCCTTGGACAAATGTAGTTGGTGATCCCTGGTCTACACTATCTGTCAGTGCTAAAAAAATAAAAGCTGTAACATCGGCTTTAATTCACCGAGATACAAATCAATTTATATTATATTGCCATGTCATATAAAAGGTCAGATTGCTATGCTCATTACTTTGCCTTGTCAGGGATTTGAATGGATTGCTGCGAGAATACACATAAATAATAGCTCACTGACAAAGCAATTACCAAAGAGGCTTGAATAGCACCAATTAGAGGCTGAGGATGAGGGGGGGGGGGGGAAATCGTGAGGTCCGGGTCTCCTTAGGGAGGAGCAATTCCCCTCCAATTATACTGGATTTCATTTGAAGAATAAACTGTACAACATGCTGTAGATGGATTTCCCTGAGGGTATCTTATTGCTTTGTAATTGAACAGATGGGAAGTGGTTGATATACCGAGGTCCTGATGTATGGACACTGTTATGTTAATGACACCAGAACATCCATCTAGAACTACATAGCATACAATCAGGCAAAAAGGACATGAATTATTCAAATCCAAAAAGGGATTATACAGTTTTAACTGAAGCATCAGGCCTGATGGAAACTGACCTGTTCCAGTAGACTGCTCCTGATACTCTCTGCATCTCGCCCAGCGCTGCCAGCAACAGAGACGACTTCCCACTGCCCACCTGGCCAACAATCATAGTCAGCTTACCTGAGAGGGTTGAGAGGCAGCAAAGTAAACAGGTGAGTGACTGAAGGACTGCATAGAGAAAGGATTCGGAGAGGAATCGAGGAGGCATATTGTATATCACACTGTCTGACTCACCAAAAGGAATCTTGATGTCCACATTAGAAAGTGTTGGCGGTCCATCGGTCCAGGTGAAATAACCGCTGATTATCTAGGAAAGCAAAGCACAGGTGTCAAAACAGATTACCTTACTCTTTAGCAAGTAAAGTCAAACCTGCCATCTGTACGAGGTGATGCAAGGTGAGGTAATAGATGTACCGTAAGCAGGCCCGGACTGGCCTGGCATGTATTGTGAACGCAACGCTGTGCAAATGTGAGTTTGCCTCACACAGGTTGACTGTGTCTACATGATGTGGCCTGCCGACATGGCCACTTCCATACCGATCATACATCAAAGCCCTCGATTGGTCTCTGTGTGTCATTCAAGCTCGGGAGGGTGTGTGTATGTGTGGCGCGAGCGAGAGAGAGAGAGAGAGAGAGAGAGAGAGAGAGAGAGAGAGAGAGAGAGAGAGAGAGAGAGAGAGAGAGAGAGTTAGCATCTGGTTAGCTAGCTGCTCTAAAAGATAGGAGCTGTTTCAACAACAAGGTGGAGGGAGAGTCATCTGCTGTCAGACTGAGAGAGATAACTACAGCTCAGATGAGGTTAAGGACTCTCTGAGTGTTTAGATAGTTAACTTTAGTCTAAGTTATCTCTGTGGGTCTCAAACGGTTTGGTCATCATTTATGTAAACACATATTTCCATTTGAAGGGGGAGTGATTAGTAAAATATGCATGAATAAAAAGAAACAAATGTTAAATAGGTGAAAAAAGGTAAGATAAACTTTAAAAACGTGTTGAGAGCTAAAACTAGTCTTTGCTGCTGCCAACAGGAGCAGGGGGGAGAGGGGGGAGACAGGAGAGGCTGGTTCAGGAGCCCAGACACACTCACAATTATAAATGAAATAAATAAACAACTTTCAATTTTTTTTTATATTGGATATGGTATGTTATTGGTTATGGCCATGATTATTTAAATGTATACAGTTCTGTTTCATATGGGTGTTTCCATAGATCTAGTCTCTTTATTTCCCCCTCAAAATGCACCAGATTGATGCATTTGACTCAAAATGCATCAATCAAAAATAAATCAGCAACGCTGTAAATATTCACAAATAAATCCAGCAAAATGGCACAAAAAACTGGTAGTGGCCTGGCTGGGTGTATAATTCCCGGCCTGTCTTATTGTCCCAGTCCGGCCCTGACCGTAAGTGTGTAATTGTTTTCTCTTCATGCAGGGGAAGGAAGATACTGATGCTTTTCACTTGCATGATTGAAATACAGAACATTAATTGAGAGTGCGAATCACTGCGGCTCATTATTTTTCCTGAATTTCCCCAAAAATCAATTTAAGCCCCTGTCACACTGTCCCGAAATTGACACCAGATGGACACACGATAAAGGAAATGTTCAAATTTGGCTCTGATCGTAACAACATCGGCCCATTCGTGAGGGCATCTTAAGCCATCGTATGACCGCCGGTGGAGTTTCTCAGGCTCCGGCAGCAACTTCGTGAGCGGTGGCAAAATCTTTGGTATGCCAAAAAATTGCAGAAGAAGGACCTTGCGAAGGTTCATTTTCCTGTTGTTTGTCTTGTCTTACCCCGGCTGATATTTCACTAAATCCACTGTTTTAATTGTTCCCTATATTGCCCCTATGCCCTGGGTTAGGGTTAGGGTTAGGGTTAGGGTTTACCCGATTGTCTTAGGAAGGCAACACGACTACGTGAAGCCCTCGCAATGCCGTTGTGTAGCCATCGTATTATATATATATATAGTTATATTATGTAAATAACCCAATTTGTGTTCTGTGAAACTGAAAAGGATGTTTTATTTAGATGCTTTTATTTTGAAGGCGAGTTTACGCTGTTGACAGGAAGTTGTTGTTGCTATGGAAACAACATGACGGAGATAAGTAATATCTTCTAATCTACATATAAAGACGGAGAAAGTAAAGAATAAAGTGTATGTTTAAATGTTAGCACCCCCCGAAGAGGCACAAGCTCTTACGTTGAGTCTGGATACATTTTAAATCAGGGATGGGCAACTTGGATGGTGGTGGGGGCCACATAATTTATGTACTGTGCACCAGGGGGCCGCAGATTTACTTGTAACACACACACACACACACAAATTCCATGTATTGTATGTAATTATTAACAAATATACTAAGTCTGACATCTTCATTGACATTTTACAATCTTTCAGGGAACATCCTCTAATAAGCTCACTAAACAAATATCAGTTCACAGACATGTTATTTAAGTGACATGTTTGTATTGAACAGGTTATTTAACAGTGGAATAAAACAATTTTAAACTATTGGAAAGCACGGAAAATGTGTATGCATTAAGATTAATGTTACGGTTTTGTATTTATGTTTTCATTTTCCACCTTTTGTTTTGAAATGTTTTCCTCCTTGTGTCTTCTCTGTTCCTTCTTCCTGTGTTTGCCTTCCTGTCATTAGTTTCCCTGGTGTGTCTGATTGTCTGATTGTGTTCACCTGTTGCCCTTGTGTTTCTGCCTCTCTTACCCCAGCTGTGTCTTGTCTTGTGATTACCCCTCCCTGTATTTAGTCTTGTCTCTTCCTGTGTTCCCCTGTCGATTCATTGTTGGTTTTTCCTGTCTTCCTCCATGTCAGTCACGGTTGTCTCTCCTGTCTCCCTCCATGTTGGTCACGGTCAGTTTTTTGTACAACCCATTTGTTTCATGCCTTGTTTTTGATCAGCTTTTAAAATAAAGCTCGCTTTTTGTTACGAGACCTGTTACCTTTTTTGATAGTCTGCATTTGGGTCCTACCCTTCCACGCATTCCTAACAGAATGAACCGACCAGCTTTGGACTCAGCAGACTCGGATCGTTTTGCTCCACAGGCAGAATGTCTTGGGTACTCTCTGGAGTACATTTTTTATACTTGGAATGGCGCCTCTTCTAGACGTGGTAGAGAGGCTGCGTTGAAGGAGGCACGTCAGGAGGTTGCTCGCGAGCCCTGGCTTAGGAGCATGTTGCCTGAGTGGCTACAACTTTTCACAAGTAGTCCGGAGGACTTGTCCGAAGCCTCTAACCCTTTCCTGGGGTATGACCAGGCCTTGGGAGGCCCACAGATCCTCCAAAGAATCTCTAGGAGACGCAAGACCAAGATTCCAGCCCGTGCTCCAGTGGTTCCAGCTCCAGATCTGGCCCCAGCAGCCATTGTTCCAGCTCCAGATCTGGCCCCAGCAGCCATTGTTCCAGCCCCAGTTCTGGCCCCAGCAGCCATGGTTCCGGCCCCAGTTCCGGCCCCAGCAGCCATGGTTCCGGCTCCAGTACTGGCTCCCCGGCCGACGCCAGGCCTCCGTGTTTTGTCAGTGGTTCGGCCCACTCCAGCCCCTCGTGTCCTGTCGGTGGTCCGGCCGACTCCAGCACCTCGTCTCCTGTTGGCTCTCCGGCCGACGCCAGCCCCCCGTGTCCTGTTGGCTCTACGGCCGACGCCTACTCCATGTCCTGTCCCGTTGGGGGTCCCGCCGACTACTCTTCTGCCGGGGGTCCTGCCAACCCTATGTCCTGTGCTGTTGGAGGTCCCGCCGACTACTCTCCTGCCGGGGGTCCTGCCAACCCTATGTCCTGTCCCATTGGGGGTCCCGCCGACTACTCTTCTGCCGGGGGTCCTGCCAACCCTATGTCCTGTGCTGTTGGAGGTCCCGCCGACTACTCTCCTGCCGGGGGTCTTGCCAACTCCATGTCCTGTCCCATTGGGGGTCCCGCCGACTACTCTTCTGCCGGGGGTCTTGCCAATCCTATGTCCTGTCCCGTTGGGGGTCCCGCCGACTACTCTTCTGCTGGGGGTCCTGCCAACCCTATGTCCTGTGCCGTTGGAGGTCCCGCCGACTACTCTTCTGCCGGGGGTCCTGCCAACCCTATGTCCTGTGCCGTTGGAGGTCCCGCCGACTACTCTTCTGCCGGGGGTCTTGCCAATCCTATGTCCTGTCCCGTTGGGGGTCCCGCCGACTACTCTTCTGCCGGGGGTCCTGCCAACCCTATGTCCTGTGCTGTTGGAGGTCCCGCCGACTACTCTTCTGCCGGGGGTCTTGCCAACCCTGTGTCATGTGCCGTTGGGGGTTCCGCTGAGGGTCCTGCCAACTCCACGTCCATTATCGTTGGGGGTCCTGCCGACCCCATGTCCCGTCCCGTTGTGGGTCCCGCCGACTACTGCTCCGCCAGGTTTCCTGCCAACACCAGATCCTGTCCTGTTGGGGGTCCCGCCGACACCTGTCCCGCCGGGGGTCCTGCCAACTCTGTGTCCTGTTCCGTTGGGGGTCCAGTCGACACCAGCCCTTGCTCCCGGGCCGTCCGCCCGAGACCCCTTCCGGGTCCTCCGCTGTGCCCCTGGGCTGTCAGCCAAAACCCGTCCTCCAGACCCCCTCCACCCACCCTGCTGGAATTTTTTGGACTTTTGGGGGTTTTCTTGGGACGTCTGGAATCCGTCCCTTGAGGGGGGGGGTTCTGTTACGGTTTTGTATTTATGTTTTCATTTTCCACCTTTTGTTTTGAAATGTTTTCCTCCTTGTGTCTTCTCTGTTCCTTCTTCCTGTGTTTGCCTTCCTGTCATTAGTTTCCCTGGTGTGTCTGATTGTCTGATTGTGTTCACCTGTTGCCCTTGTGTTTCTGCCTCTCTTACCCCAGCTGTGTCTTGTCTTGTGATTACCCCTCCCTGTATTTAGTCTTGTCTCTTCCTGTGTTCCCCTGTCGGTTCATTGTTGGTTTTTCCTGTCTTCCTCCATGTCAGTCACGGTTGTCTCTCCTGTCTCCCTCCATGTTGGTCACGGTCAGTTTTTTGTACAACCCATTTGTTTCATGCCTTGTTTTTGATCAGCTTTTAAAATAAAGCTCGCTTTTTGTTACGAGACCTGTTACCTTTTTTGATAGTCTGCATTTGGGTCCTACCCTTCCACGCATTCCTAACAATTAACCATTAAGATAACATAAACATGAAGTCATGAACACTAACCCTGACATTAGTTGTCTAACTTGAACCTAGCTAAGACACTTGTAGCCTGTCTCTGCATTCCCCTTATTCCACAATAAGGGGAATTTCAACACAGACACCTGTCAACCCGCACTCTGCTGTTCCTCAGCGCCGCTCCCCCTCCCTCCCGCTGAAATTATGAATGAAAAGCGTATAGTAATCATAGATAACACGGCAGGGTCCGTGACAGTTTGTTTTCATCTGATTTCAAATAAACAAAGTCTTGGTTTTTAGAATATTAAACTTGTTTCGCCAAATTCATAAATACAACTTTTAAGCTTGTAAAGCCATAATTACAAGCAGTAACTTAAAGGTGCAGGTAAGTTTGAGAAACCGGCTCGAGATACACTTTTTGTTATATTCCATGGAATGTTCTTAACATCCCGATAGCAATGAATATCTTAAGTGCTTTGACAAAGAATCCATAAAAAAATGTCATCTGTGGAAGCTGTAGTACTGTAAAAAGCACGACCAATCATTTTAGCCGGCCCGGCTAAAATAACTGGATGGCCTACCTGCCTGTCAGCCTTCCATCTGTGCACAAACTTATCTCGTGCCCTCATTGGTCATGTGCGCGTTCGTGTGTGTTGGAGGAGGGGCTCTGTAAGGAAGTGGCAGATTTTTTCCGGCTGTGTATTTTCAAATTCTAGCGCACTCGAGCTGGTTTCTCCAAAATTACCTACCCCACCTTTAACGTCACAGCAGGCATAACAGCCGGTGTTTCTTGTGAGTGTTTCCCCGGGAAACAAACACAATACACACAAACGCGTCACAGATTATTTTGCAGTATTTGTCTGCCAAACGAAATCATGTACGCAGCTCGCGACGTAACTAGGAGTCTAGTGGACAGTATCAGTACTACAAGTACCCCCGGGCCGCCATTTGCCCATCCCTGTTCTAAATCATCAGTAAAGTCTACGACCATATTTTCGTGTGTGGTTCGGGTGCCATCGTGTGGCCTTCTGTAGGCATCGTACTTGCTTCGGCTGTTGCTTGGCTGTTGACCAAGTTCGGGGCCATCTTCGTGCGAAATTCACAATTCCATATTCGTGTGTCCGTCTGGTGTCAATTTCGGGACAGTGTGACAGGGGCTTTAACAGCAGCGCCCAGAACTCATTTCATTGTTGGCAAAATGTGAGAGGCAGTGTCCAAAATATTGTTGCAGACATACAGACTATGCCAGGCAAATTATTTAGACTGAACATTCAGTTGAAGAGCAATCAGTCTCCATTCAGAAGAATTTGAGATATTGACAATGACATTTTCTTTTTGTATACATAAAACTAAGCCCAGTTCATACACTTTATATTAAAAGGAATATATTAACCAAGAAAAACTCCAAACATTTTTGTTTTTTATATATTGGAACATGTAGTGTCCCATGAAATGTTCATTTTTAACCCATGACTATGATATTATGATTCATGGTTTTAATTTCCTGTTTTTATGCCTGGATGCCAGAAAAGCAAGATAGTTATTTTTAAAGCTTTTTTATAGTCATATAGTAGAAATGTAATAATACACTGAACAGCTTTGCCTTTCTGTTGCTGCAGTGTCTACTTTAATGGTTAAAAAGCTCTCTTTTCTCCAGGTCCCTGGATCCCTGTTGGTTTGAATAATTTACCGTTATAATTTCAGTCGATAACTCCTTTTGGATTGTTTATAACCACCAGAGCATGGACAACATAATGGGAATGCCACAAACATAATTACTGCTTTTCATCCAAGTAAAGGTAATTCTTGACAAATAGTGACAACATCTGGAGATAAAGTGTGTTTATCCTCCATTAACTCAGTCAGTTTCATTTTAAAGGACTACAATTAAAGAAAGGGGCAAAATGTTCAGAACTGTGAAGACTTGCTAGATCACCATTTCAAATTTGATAAGACCTTGAATAATATTGCATCTTTTTTCTGAGCAGGTAGCATCTGCTGCATTTGTCCTTTTATCGCTCTCACTTTGATGCAGATGTCCTGGTCCATGTCTTGGTAGGGTCCGTCTCCCTCGTGGTCCCCCTGGGAGCTGTAGTTGTTCCAGTCATCCCTCGGGGGGCGTTTCCGGTTCACCACCTTCAGAGGCTTGAGGTGTTGGGACGAAGACGAGGAGGAGGAGGATGAAGTGAGAGGTTTAGAAGATGGCTAGAGGAGGGTAGTATTACAACAGTCACGAAGGACGAAGAGGTAAATGGTGATATTATCACAAGGACGATAATGTGGAGGAAGGAAACAACATTCAAAGCAAAATGAGACAGCCTGGACGCAGCAGCAGGGGAGATAACAACCTTATTGCCTAAATCAAGCCAACATAAAAAGCGTGTGTGCACATGTACTCACCACAGCCTGGTATCTGTTTTGGTTGTGATTGCTGGAGCCAGAGGTTAATATCGCTCTGGGCTCCTGTTCCTCTCCTATCTCATCGCATGAGAAAAACTCGCTGAGCTTCTGAACACTGCACATCAAACAGAAAGACAATACATGAGTAATGAGGTCAAACTAAATTAATATGTATAACACATTTGTATAGAATGCTCAAAACATGGTGCTAGTACAGCAGATAGGTAACAAAGGCTTTCATTGAGCTATCTTCCATTCATGTAAAGATAACAGCATCCCTGCTGTTTATGGCCCCAAAGCTCATTCAGAGGAAGATGTTTCAATAACAACGAGCTTTTGCTTTCTCTGATACAATCACATATCTCTACATCTCTGAATTGAATCATGTCTCTTCTTCTTCTACTTCACTACCTAAATGAGATAAAATGCTTGCCAGATCAAGACCATCTTAATTTAATTACTAAATGTGGGCTGAATGTCGGATCTGACACTGGCCCTCATTTCAACCGCGGAGAATAAACAGAAGGGCAACCATGGCAACCATGCATGCTTGTGAAGTCTTCTTCGCTGCTTTTGGTGTATTTTGTGGCGGAAGTACAGCGCCACTTACAGGCCCGGCATATGTACTACAGCGTCTCCAGCGGTTGGTCGAGCGGTCTCATGTGGACGGACACGTTTCTGGTGCCGATTGCGTGTGGATGGAAGACTTTTTTGATATCGAATTCGGTTCGTTTTCGTTACCATCTCCGTGTGGCCAGGGTCTTATATGCCACAGGAACAATAAATGATTCTTTAATGAAATCCAAAGAAATATATGTCAAGTTTTACAATGACTTTGCATTTAAATCAGTGCATAAGTAATCTATTGTTCCTCTACAAAGACACATTTTCTGTGAAGATGAAGTGAATCCAAGCTGTGGGTTATTTTGGTTCCTGCTGTCTGACAAAGTGTGTCAGATCACACAGTCTCAAAATAGAAATCTTGAATAATCACAGGTGCTTCCACATTAAAGGAAGAAAATACACTGTGGTTAAAATAAAGAGCATACACCAACTCAGTTGTATAAGCTGGCCTCTTAAAGACCCTTATAGAAAATGTGTGATGTCAGTTTCTTCATCCTCAGTCATTACTTCCTGCCCTGCGATCAAGATTTAAAGATGGAGATGATGGGATTTAGGCTGACACGCTCTCATTGTCTGTACATGGAAAAAGTTCTGCTTCATTGACTTTATGAGACAACCTTAAAAGACTTTAAAGTTTTAATCCTTAAAGCATATACATATTTTGTTAATCAACAGAGTTTGGATGTTACACATTTAGGAGGCATACATAAACATACCAGTTTGGTATTTACATATCAGCCATTGTTGAAAATAAAATAAATTGTTGTCTCATCTTCCTGTCTAACTATATATGGAAAGTGAATTAACATATTATTTTCAGATTAAACATGTCTTGTAGCTCAGGGGAACAATTTGTATGTTTTCTCCTTCAATACTGAAGCTAAAATGACCCTACAGCACAGCATGTTACTTTTTCTATTGTGGCGTTTTCGGAACCTTTAGGAGTTGTAAATGTTAACCTTGGCAAATAAAGTCTGCTGTACATTGAATACTTTTCAGTGCCTCACTGCACTCCGTCCTGCTGAAAATGATCTGTACAAGAAATGAATTTACAAGAAGTATATTGCTCAGTATAATAAGCAAAGCTCACATGGGGAGTTATTTGCTTGTGCAGCATCAGCATCTCTGCAGCAGCCTAATTACAACATATGTCTTGACTGCCAAACTAATTGTGAGCTAATTGCTAAATGAAACAGGCAGAGATTCAAGGGTACTAAAACAACAGTGAAAAAGCACTCGGTTACATAAATAAAAGACTGATCCGATAATGCATCTGATCCACCTAATGGAGAACTGAGTCGAGTGTTTTCATTTAATAATGGTGCTTTTCACTCCTGAGTGTTTTTGTAAACATCTCCTTCCACAGAACACTTATCAGACATTTCCTAACCAATAAACTGACCAAAAAGAAAACAGTGTTTGCTAGTTCCTTTTTCAGATTATGATATTGTATTCATCCTGCATCTCCTCAAATCAATCAGCATGAAGATGAATCTGATGTTGAACACTGCTGTTAAAATATATTAAAGGTCACCTATTTTTTTTTATACATAAATATGTGTCTTCAGTGTGTAAGGAGACTCACAAAGTGTCAGAGAATACAACCCTCTCTCTTTTCCTCCTTACCCACATCTCTAAAAACAGGGGTACAACGGAGCTGTTCCAGATTTGCTGCGGGCTTGACGTCATTACTGAAATATAATTTCAAGCATCGCTAACACTCAGAGCTAACACTGTACTGGAGAGCGTATGTGTAAAGATGTTGTAGATTTGTATAGATAAGGCCTTATAATTAGGGTTGAAAATGTGATTATTTGCGGTACCGAGGTGGGCCGGTCGAGAGTCCCGGGCTGATTTGTAGTCCCAGTCCGCCGCTGCCCACGGGTAAATGTCTTCCCAGTCTTTGTTGTATGTGCATCTTCTTCTTTTCTTAGCTGTAGTTTCAGTTTCCTCCATTTTCCATAACCTGCTGCGTCGCCTGCGTTATTGACTTTCATTGTTGTTGTTTGGCGGGGCCGCGGCGGTGTGTGTGTGAGTGAGTTACTCTCATTGGTTAACACTTGACCAGCACCCGCCGTGTCTTACAGTTTGATTGACAGCAAACACAGCTCCGTGATGATAGCCTTCCCTGCTTTCTCAACAGCCATTGGATAAATCTGATTTTAGAAAAGCGTTTTAGCCAATCAAAATGAAATATGCGGGACATCGTCTCAATTTGCGGGACGCACCAAAAGTCGTGAAAATGCTGTGCAGTCCCGCGCAAAGCGGGACATCTGGTCACCCTACTTATAATATATTGTTCAAATATAGCATAATAGGTGACCGTCAAGGCTTCTCACCTCACAAGGGCCTTGACGGTGGAGCGCACCACGCTGGAGAGCAGGAAGAGGGGGGTGACCAGGATGTGAAAGAGGGACAGGGAGGCAAAGGCCACAGCTGGGGACAGATCAGCGTCATCTGAGAGGTGAACATGAACCACAAACGTCTGTAGGATGAGAGGAAGGGTAGAAAGGCTGAGGTTAGTCTCCACAGCATGGATTAAGATCCCTAAACCTGTGAACTGTTAGCAACTCAAGACCGGTTCAAGGTGAAAACCAATGGAGGAAAAACAGACGTTTTTATCTGTCTGAACTTCAGTTGTGCTTTGTTTGAGGAGTCAGATACAATCAAATCAAAGGGGAATCACTTGTCTACATCCGTCATTTATAATAATCCCTCTCCTTTCTATGTGTCTGACTTTTCTATTTCGTCACCTCTCACGTCTAAATTCATGAAGGACTTCTATAAATATAGTCAGGATTTAGTGAGTTGCTGTCAGAGAGCCTCCGCTGTGGAACTAAAATGTCACAGGACACTGACACTGTCTCTGCTCCATCCTTCACACAGGAGGGAGGTCGCAAAGATGTAATCTGATCAATAGTTATTGTCTCTGTTCATGACTTGACACAAATATAAAACAACTTATCATAAATATATCATCTTAGATAGGTTAATTATGTGTGAATTAAAGGTAGAGCTAGAATTTAAACTCACCGTCAGGACAGCTGCGATGGGAATAGCTGCATTCATGAAAACTGAAATTGAGAAGAAACAGAGAGGAGGATGTGAAGGCTTGTTTAAACTCAGTGAAAACAAACAATGTACATTTTTGGAATATTATTTTGTATTGATACCGTAGGCCCGTTAACAAAAACAGATGTGTATCCATATCTTCTCAGTGATATCCTGTAAAAACTTCACAACTGTGGTGATACTGTACATTTAAACTGGATGATACTTGGTTATGTATGAGATGAGAACAATTAACATCCCTTTGATTACATACAAAACGTTTTAAACTATTTAGGCAGACTCCAAATACATGGGTTGGGGTGACCAGCAGTTTCATAGTGCATTTTAAGAAATCACAACATCATCATCCCCTTTATCTCTGTGTATTATGTTCTAGGATCCGCCATTACAAACTATGCAATTAATTTAAAATTACATATAATAAAAACATGTGAAGGATGTTAAGACAAAACAGCGTTGTTACTGCAGTGAATATGTACTGATAGCATGTGTCAGTGATGGATTGATCATGATTTGTATTACTGGCAGGAAATCAGTGTGCTATTCCTCTCTATTGTCAGGGAGAAATGATACTAGTTAATTCCTCTTGAACTCTATTATTGTGCCATGCAAACTGCAGCCACTGTTCAACCTGGAGAAGAAAAGGAGCAACCTGTAACAAATCACTGAGTGACATTTTGTGCAGTAATTAAAATGGGAAAAGTAATGGAAGTATAAAAGTTCCATGTTAGCCGCGCCTGAAACATTAGTTACCTTGTGCCTTTGAATATTTTTTTCGGAGGAAGCAACGTTTTATCTTTTATAATATGTTTAAAGGTCTCCTATTATACTATTTTTAGGCATATATTATAGGTCTCAGATATATTAAAAATTATAAAAAACACGTCTATGAAGTGTTTTGCTCAAAATACCAAACAGATCACCCATTCTAGCCATGCCTCATATCCCTCTATTTCAGCCCTGTTAGAGAAGTTCTGATTCTGGGTCCGTAGCTTGAAAAAATTCTACCGAGATACTCAGCTAAATGCTGCCGTGATGAAACGCCATATCATGTTCAAAACCACATCAAGGATTATTTCTGAAACAGTATGGAGCTCAAATGCTTTTTCTCTTGCGGGTTTACCACAAGGTGAGTTCCTTTTTTATATCCTGCTTTTTTACACATACTCTCTCCAGTACAGGTCAGCTCTGAGTGTTAGCGATGCTTGCTAATGTAAACAAAGACCATATTACGTCCAAAACATTTTTTCTGATAGCAACGTTTCTGATAGTGCCATGGGTCCACATTTTCGATATTACGTCATATCGGACGCAAATCTGGATCAGCTCCGTTGTACCCCCGTTTTTAGAGATTTGGGTATGGAGGAAAAGAGAGAGGGTTTTATATTCTGACACACCGGGGACACATATTTATGTACAAAAGAAATACAAAAGTGCATTTTGCATGATAGGAGACCTTTAATTAGGTCAAATGTGAGAGAGCCAGGGGAAACAAAGTGCCTTACTGGATATGGATGTGTAAAAAGCGAAGGCCTTCAGGCTGGTGAGCTCTTTGCCCCTGGTCCCCTCCACACTGTCACAGAAGATGTGTTCCCAGGCATACAGCTTCAGCAGCTTGATGCACCGTAGCAGCTCATTGGTCTTCTTAAGACGTTCACTGGAGTATTCCTGCAAGTGGAAAAGGGAGCCTTTGATTAAACAACAGTAATCCATCACATCACAAGAGGTGCAGCTAGAGAGCTCACGAGCGTTATCACATCCTACTTCAAGGATTCAATTGCCAATACAAACATCGAAGTCAAAGAGGCATTGTTTTCCCTGATATAAAAAAGCATCCAGTAAGGCCCTTTGTTTCCCCTGCGCACATGGACCCTTGCTCTCTCACATTTGAGCTACTTAAAAATAATGTTTCTTGCTGAGAAAATATTCAAAGGAAGGCACAACAAGGTAGCTAATGATCCAGGCGCGGCTAACATGGAACTTTTGTACTTCAATTACTTTCCCTTTTTAATTACTGCACAATATCAAAGTCAAGTAGGTCAAAGTCAACTTTTTTGTCAATCTTTCAGTTTGTTTTTATCAAGGTTTCAATTGCCAATGCAAACATCAAAGTCATTGAAGCATTGTTTTCCCTGATATGAGAAAGCATTGTTTATCCCTGGCATTAAATCCTGCTCTGCAATATCAAGGACTGAAGGTAACAATATTATCACACCCGACTGGACTCAAGGCAGATTTGTATCAGTGGAAAGCAGCAGAAAGGCTTGAGGCAAAATCAGTACATATCCTTTGTTAATATTGACCAACACTGTTTTCAAAGTTTTGTGTGATCTTTCTGAAACAGACGCGGCTTAGACACTGTTTACATTTAATAGTGAACATGAGATTAGATGTTTAACCAGGCATTCGGGTAAAAAAACAAGCCACTACTCTCCTTAATACTGGATTAATAGTTTTCGAAAACGTTTTTGATTCCAAAAGATTATAATAAAACAAAGACAACACAATGATTCTTATTGAACCAATATTTCCCTCCGAACAACAGTGTCGACTTCATAGTGGTACTGAGAGTAAAATCAGGAATTGACAAAAGTAATATCTCATGGATATCTGTACTAAAGCTATGGGCCTCTTCAAGCGGCAGATATTGAGATATTGTACAGGAAAATAAAACTGTGGGTGATTGGAGTCAGCAGGATTTCATCCTCTTGGTGTCATGAACGTTTTTTATAATAGCAATCCATCCCAAATATAGACATATTTCATCTGGACCAAAGTGGTACACCAACAGACTAACCATTTAAAGCCTCGAGCATGGCTAGAAATAAAGTCTCAAGAAATACTACATCTCTGTAAAAGAGACAATGAAAAATACCCACCAGGGTGCTCTTCTGAGTTTGGGACAGCTTGGTTGCGACAAAGTATTGTACAGGAGCTAACACAGCGATGACGGTCGCTCCAATCAAGGCACTGATTCCCAAGAGGTAGTAGAGCAGGATCACTCCCACAATAATCTGAGAGGAAACACAGAGAGAGAGAGAGAGAGAGAGAGAGAGAAATTATTTAACCTTGTGTAGAGAAAAAGGACAGACTGAATGAAAGACCCAATTACCACAGCACATTGCTTTGTGAGAAGCAGTGACCTTGAGCAAAAGGACATCAGCATGGAGGCAAGAATACCGTTTTCTGTGGTGGGGCCTGGGGTTAGACCAGAGTAAAAGAAAAGTGAATGTGTCTGCAGCACAGAGTATTTAAAACTCTGCAAACAAGACATCACATTTTTGGTCAGCTTCGTAATCTTCTTCAAAACACTTTGACGCCACTGGTCTTGTGTCTGATGAATGTGTTAATAACAATACAATAACTACAACAACAACTGATCAGACCAACAGATAACAAGGGGAAATCGACAGCAGAAATGTTTTACTTATTTCAATAATTACAGCGTGGATGTTTAGGAGGTGGGACTATGTTGTAAGAAACATATTTTACTGGAATGTTGAAGACTAAAAAACGTAATAGTCGCTTTAAACAACGTACTGTTGAAGGAAGAGACATTAACTTTTATAACCTCACAGAAAAACACATTAGAAGTGGTCCAAAAGGAGAAAGACATTTGTGTGTGAGTGTGAGAGAGACTTTTGTGTTTCTGCCCCTGCCATTCCCGCACAAGGTTGTAACATTGTTGACAAATTCAAGCACCGACACCTGTCTGCTCTCACATTCCTGCATTATGTTTTGCGGGAACCAATCTTTATTTTTATTTTTTTATAATTATCTGCAAATTTGGGGCGGGACACAATAAATAAAGCTTTGCCAGTTTGGGTCTGTTACGGCCTCCACCTTCTATCTGCTCATTAACCTGTCTGTGAGTGTTTGCAGCTGTGTGTGTTATATGTATATGAGCTGTGCCGTTGCCCAGACGCCATTGGATGCCAGCTTTCTGTCCCTCCCCCGGTAGGCGTGACCGAAGATCTGGATTGGAGCAGGTCGGGCCAACTCTCCAATCCCTGCACACACCTTCCGGGGACTGTTACAAGAATGTGTGCATCACAGTTAGTCAACAGAGGTCTGAATCTGTGTCAGACGTCTCTCGGTACTCTCAGTACATTCTGTGTGAGTTCTGTTAACAGTGGTTAACTAGGTTGTGTGCATATTTGTGCTTATGTTTATGAATCTGTTTATCTTTAAGTACAACATAACTGTGGTTAACTTGTACACAGGCTGTGTTTTGTTATGGTCTATTTTCGTTAGCCCTATTCCTTTTTCCATTTTAGAAGTGAGGTTCTCTTTTGTTTATGTGTTTGTAGTTTTTGTTTAATTTAGGTATTAACTTGTGAAAGCTCTTATTTAAAGAGTCTACTTTAGTTCCTTTTGTTTGTTATTTAAACCGGTGCCTTTGTGGCCTTTTGTTTTGATTGTGGTTGTTTGTTGCCAAATTAGTGCAGTTTTCATTAAAAGAACTTCCTATTTGACCAAAAACAACTGGTCATATGTTACTTTCCACGAGCCGGGACGTAACAGGGTCCTTATCACAGCTGATCAAGATGGCCAAAAGATTCTCTGCTCAGAGGGCCTTGCAAATGATTCTGGAAGAGAGAGAACCATTTGATGATGATGTAGAGGAAGAGGAAGAGGTTTCTGAATGTGAGGATCACATTTCTGAGAATTCAGAGTCTGACAGTGACTTTGAAGAAAAGGATGAGATTGAGCATCAGCTAGTTACAAAAAAAAGACGAGCCACAGGACCCGCCGGTCAGCGGGCAAAAAAACGAGTAGCACTTTAATTCATTAATGTGATCTAACAAATGCAAATATTAACCATATATACTGTTTATATTGCTTGTAATTGGGATGAAGTAAACATCTGTTGAGTATTTTAACATCAAATAGTTTGATTGTGTTGAATTGAAGCCCAAAAAGGCAGCGGGTCCACCAGACCCACGAACACTGGCTGAATAACAAAGATATGAACACCACACAAGGGTTAAACCATTTTAAATACCTGTTAACAGAGAATGACAAAAGCCTTCCACAGAAACATAATTTCTTAACTATGTTTATACATTTGCTTTGAAGAAACATGCAAAGAAGCACACTTCAGAAAGGTTCTGGATTCCAAATACACGACTCCAACATAGTCAGTAATTGAACAATGAATTAAGAATGATCAAACTCAAATATTTATGAATGCTTTTTTCATCCTCCGCATACAATGAGTCTCCCTTCTAGTTTACGACAGAGATGAGTCATGTCTCCCTGTCCTTGGCCCATTATCAGCCACCCATCGTCTCTGGAATCACGCTGAACACATGCCAGGTCCAGAAATCCCCAGGACACGCAGAACCAGATGGTGATGGATGTGACATTTCACACTTTCACACGCCCTCACTTTCATCTGTCACAGGATCATTTGTGCTACTGGGGATGAGGAAGGTGATGGGCAGAAAAACAGCGGGATGTGATTTGAGATTCTCTGTAAAAAGTAACACCTTTTTTTTTTACAGTGGCTGCCTCGTAGGAATGAGCATTATGTAACCAGGGGACTCAGCATTGCAATGTGCAGCTTTGGAGCCACCAACCCCCATGCAGTGTCTGTCAGTGTGGGTTGTAAAAAGCTTCACACTAAATACAGTAACATACTGTACTTCCTAATGGCTTCCTAACTGCAATTACCTCAATGACTACTGTACTCTGCTGCAACCCTTTTGGGAAATAGTCCCTGAGGAAAATGTACCCATTATATAACAGGTTTAAGAGTCTACAGAAATGCTAGCGGCTATATTTAATAAGAAGAGTGGTGCTTTGAGTTAAATGTTAACAGTGCTAGCATGCTCATAGTGACGAACAAACGGGCTAAACATTGGCAGATATAATGTTGCATCCTCTTAGTTTAGCATGTTAGCATACTGACATTTCTGGATTAAAACAAAACGTAAAGTACAGACATATTTTTGTAAAACCTGTTGTTGATAGTGCCAAAAAGTCAATGCCAAACTGTCTCTTTTATCTTTACCAAACATCGTGTTAATCCAATTTATAGCTAAAGCAAAAATCATTTTAAAACCCTTTATATCCAATTTCTTCTCCAGCAACTTCCAATGTAATGATCATTAAAGTCTGACAGACTTTTGAAATTGGAAAACTAAATGAATGTGAGCAAAAGTAGTTGTGTTTTTCTTCTACACACCACATGAGCTAAATAAGCCGGCAGCTCATGTCTACTGAGCCTTTGATACATAAAAGGCCTTTTTCAGCAGACATGTTGGCTTGTCGTGGCAGGAAAAGCAAAGATGTAACAGATAACATAAAAAACAGCAGCATTTGGTGAGCATGTTCCCGGATCCTGGTAGTAGGCATGCTGGTTCAATGACAAGGATCACTGAGACACTGAGACACGAAATGTGTTTACCTGTGCTTCTGCTATGAGAAGTCCAAATATCTGCTGTGCAAAAACTGAAAAAAGGTATTTACTGACTTGACTGATAAAGAACAGTTGCTTTTATAGATTACAATCAGCAGTCACATAAATTACAATGGCACCTGCTAATGCTATGATATTCCTTTTTCACTGAGGCCGTTTGCACATTGGATTTATTCACAGTTTGGGGCAGACATGCAGGTACAGATGGAGAATACTAATTCAGCTCTATGTTATACAGCTACTGAGGGGAGAAACACAGTCGGTGTATAACCTAATGTGGGTGTCTGTTTATTGATGAATTAAACATTCTCATATTTCTGCTGACAGTTTAAGTTGCCCAGATGAGAAAGTACCATAAAAGTGTTTATCATTTAGACATTAACATTGACAGCCAATGGGATATTATTGTTTTTGAAATACCTCCAATGACACAGATAAGAAACCATAGCTAACCACAAATGTGTCAAATTGGATGTTTTCATAGTAGTTCTACTATGTCTTCATAAATCATTGAAATGGAGAAACTTAGAACTTATGTCCATAAGTAATGATGACAGTAGGAAAAATGAATCTGCACATGTGTTGACTTACTTATTTTTTAACAAATATTATGCAAGTTGTGTTTTGGGCCCAAGGATTATTCCTTGTATATTTTTGTTTTTGACATATAAGCCGCGTTCACACCGGAGTACTTTTCCCCGTACTTTTCGCGTTTAGTTCCGTTAGTACCCCTTATGTCGGGTTCACACCAAAAAGAGTACTTAGTGCCGGGAACTTTTACCCCCATTTTTAGTGCCTGCTGAGAGATGGTACTTTCCTGGAGGAAAAAAGTGCCCCAATTCTGATTGGCTGGGCGAATTGCAAACCACGCCCCGTACAACTCTGAAATGTTTTGTAGAGCCGCCATTTTATTATCCTCGCATTAGCATTATTAGCATTAGCATTCGCCCAGCGCACAAACGCAGAGAGACTAACTTATGGCAACACAAAATAAAACATGTGGAGATGAGGAAGTGTCTGTGTTCTGGCGATTTACTCGGAAGGCTTCAGTAGAAGCTGCTGGGAGTCCCAGCAGACTCAGTGCTTCTTGCTATATACTATAGAGTATACTTATCTCCAAACCCAGCATGTGCTGCCAACATAAACCAGAAGAAATGTCAGAAGAAACAGAAGAGCCTCAGTGCTATAATACGTCAATACGAAAGAGAACATTCGATCGTGAAATACTTTTTCATTTTGCAGCAAACAAAACCACCGTACGAGTGCTAAAGAAATAACTGACAGTTTTTTCAATGTCAATGTTCTTTGAAGACTTGCTGTCAATATTCAAGTCATCTTTTTCGCTTTTCAAACACAGCTTTTGTTGTATTTCTGAGTTGTGAAAGCTATTTGCTGCTTGACCAGAGCTTTGATTGCTATGCACTTGACCGGCATTGCACTTACTTACTTTATACATGATGAACAATATGCTGCAGCTGCATGTCATAAAGGGGATATGATTAAATTATAATGGTGAGAGTGGAGAAAACTAACAGCAGGTACAGTTCACAAGAACATTTTCAAATAGAGCAATGTCAAATCTAATATAAAATAGAGAAATAATAAAGAAACAAAATGAAGTTTCTGAAACAGAATCCTACAGGTTTCCAAGGACACTGGATCTCCTTGAGAAACTAACTTACGACTAGGGTTTGCTGAAAGAGCATTTTCCTGATTTGTTCCTACTGATTTCTCCTGAGGACTTAATACTATACAGTATGAAAAACAACATTGATTATACAGTACTGGGTGTCATAAATTAAAATCTGAAGAAGGCCTCTTTACCAAGCTCCAAACTAAGTTAAATATTTCAAAAAGTGTAAAAGATATCAAAAATCTGAAGAAATAAGTTTTATAGATGAATGTCTTGTGACCGTTTTAAAGTTGGAATGAAGTCTCTAGCTGAAGGTATGTGGAAGGAGTAGCATTTGGCGCAAGGTGTAGGTAAAAGAGGATTTGAAGGTTCCTCCCATTGAGTTACATGTTAAAAAAAGAGTTTAAAAAGCTGAATATTTCAAAAAGTATAAAATATTTTTGAAACTGTTGAAAGTTTCCCATCATGTGCTGAAAAAACGGAATATTTTGATATTTGAATGGTTTCTGTAGCTGAAAGTAGGCGGAAGTTATCGGACGGCAAAATATTGGTTGAAATAAGAAGAAGATTAAAGAAAAACAGAAGAATCTAACTAGAAAACGCATTTCCGGATCTTTTAAAGTAAACTTTAAACAAACTGCTCCCATCTCCACATTTTACACACAAAACCTAAAAAAACAAACATATATCAGTTCATTGGGGTTCCCTGATGCTCACGGTCTGGTAATATTTTGATAGGCATAGTTTTTGAACAGGTGGCAAAATTGTCAGATATAATCCTCAATGCATTCTTAATGGGACTCAGTGCTGCAGTTGGCAACCATGGTGTTGCTGGGCAGATTGGGGCCACAAACCTGAGTGACATCATCTAATCAGAGCAGACACGCCCACAGACAGACTGGTACACGCACACACAAACACTGGAGGTTTGTATTATTTTTTTTCAACAAAAGTTAGAAATGCAAGAGGTTTATCTCTCATTCAGAACAAATGGAAAGGCTCTCCTTTCACAGCACATCTCCATGGAAACCTTTGATCTCTGGGCTTACACACACAGGTGTTTGTAAACATTCATTCACTACTACTTACATTTAATATCTAACTCCTTGAGCCTACTTTCAGCTACAGAAACCATTCAACTATTTCAGGACATTGAGGCTATACATGTTGTTGTTTATACTTTTTTAAAACCTTTTCTTTTAAATATTAAGCTTCTTCACTATTTTCCCTACTCTTCCAGTTTAACATTTCACTTTCAAGTTTCCAACAAAGTCATTGCAATGCATTTTCTAGTTTTTTATATTTTTTCTTTATGTTATTATAGTTTTCTTCAAATAGTTTTCTATCTGTGTTTTTAATTTTTGTTTTATTTTTATGTATGCACCCCATTCTTATTCTGATTCTGACAAACTGAGGTAACGTAATACATGGCGACACAATGTAAAACTTGTTTTATAATGCAGTGGCGGCCGGCCCATAGGGGCGCTAGGGGCGCCGCCCCCCCTCTTCCCACATAAAAAAAATAAAATAAAAATAAAATAAAAAAATATATATTTAAAAAATATATTTTTTATTTTTATTTTTAATAAACAAGGTAAATATTATATAATTGGTATCAGTAAAATGTATAATCTACAATAAAATCTCGTTTAAAATTGTGTTACGATGTCTAAAGTTACTGATAAGTCACATGTTTCCTGCCTGGCCTTGCCCGTGTATCATTACTCCCTCTCGTCTGGGCGCTATGCACAGCGCCCAGACGAGAGTGCAGCAAGTGCAGCAGAAGCCAACTGTTGCTATCTTTAAACTATGCCGCCGAAACATAATTTCAGCCAATCAGCGTCGTCAAATCTGATGGTCACAGGGCTCCTACGTGAGCGCCCGGTGCAGTCTGTGAGTTGTTTGGACTCGTATCCAAGGAGACAAAACAGGAAGCTGTCATACACTCTGGACTTTTTCAAAGTGACAGACACATTGGATTAACCTATGGATTAACCTTCAGCTGCGTTTTTCTCATTTTTGATCAGAATTGTTATTCTGCAAAAGGTGAGCATATCTCCGTGTTTTGCTACCTAAAGCTACGTCGTGTGATGTCTGTATTTGCTTCCCCTGTCGCGAGTTCTGATCGCTCAGTGATGATACTTATATTTCTAGAATCTGTGGAATCTCAGCTTGTTAGCACAGTTTATGCTGTAGAAACTATGTCCAGGACAAGGTGTTTGGAAGTTTTGGAAGATTCATAGCTAACCACACTGCTGTTATGGAGGTATTGATCAGTCTTCTCATATTTTTAAGCCTGAAATTGTCCTTCCCCCCCCCCCCCCCCCCCCCCCCTCTAACATCACCAGAAGTCATACTGTAAGGCATGGGTGCGTTGGGATTTTTGTCAATGCTTTTGGAACGGAACATCATTTATTAAAGAATAGTTTGGTCATGTGCATTTAATGTTTGATATTCACGTCAGCCGGCGGACATTTTTACAATTGAGCGTTTGCTTCACAACCAAATAACCATGTTTTTTTATCTGTTCATCTCCACTCCCCTGCTCCTTCTTCCTCTCTTTCACTTCCTTCCTCTTCCATCTGCAGACTTAAACACCATCAAATATGTCTTTGAAGAAAAGTTCTGTCAAATAACTTCCGAGAGTTTCCATTCAGAGGAGCAACTTGTGAAATTTCACAGCCCTAGACTTCAGTGGGTGGCCATTACAGCGTGCAGCTCCAGCTCTAATACACAGCATTTAATGCCTATTTTCGTAAAGATGTATTCAGAACGTGTCAACATGTGTGTAACTTTGTATTTATGTATGTGCATATTCCTGGAACTTTGGCTGCTGGTGTGTTGGAAGGGTGGGTGAGCATATGTGGGCCTGTGAGTTGGTGCGATGACTGCAATATGAACTTCCGAATTATTCATCACATTCCTCTGAGGACACCACAGGGAGCACAAAAAAGACTATTCATATCACTGAGATACCATGCACGCCTTCACCCCTCTGCATATCAAAATTAAAATATGATATGCAATGTAAATGCAGACCATAACGCTGTCTCCACCTTATTGTTTGCACTGCAGCTTTGTATCCGCATTGCTGCCCACAAGAGCGGAATTCTATATTAAGATATGTTAGTCAATTGTATCTATGTTTTAACTCAAATTGGCTAAAAGTTAAATAATGTCAAAGATTTGCACATTTCTACCGCAGTTTCGTCAGAAAACTGTCAATTTAAACTTTACATTTGTAATGTTTGCAATCATTTCTCAATGTTAATAATGTTCTGAACCATGTACTGTATACGTTCAAAATTGTTTTGGCAATATATATATATACTTGTAACCATTTTGTACATTTTCAAAAACCGACATAACAAGAAAGACAATGATACAGTACGAGAGTAAGGCTCACAGAAATAAAAAACAAGAAAGAACAATATAATAGGAGTTGGGAGGGGGGGTTGCAGTGTTAGCCATACATAGTGAAGCCATAGGAACACATGAATACTCAGGGTCTTGCCTCAGTGCATGTGGTCTTGGTCTTGGATAAGTATAATTATGTTCTGTTCTCCAGAACATAATTATACTTTTATCATTATATATATTTATAGTTTTCCCTTACCTACTTCCTAACTGATGTATTCTCTATTAGAAAAGTATTCTCTATTAGCCTCACAATACCCACCCCACGTCACCATTGACGCCCAGAGTGAATATATATATATACTTGTAACCATTTTGTACATTTTCAAAAACCGACATAACAAGAAAGACAATGATACAGTACGAGAGTAAGCCTCACAGAAATAAAAAACAAGAAAGAACAATATAATAGGAGTTGGGTCTTGGTCTTGGATAAGTACTGTAATTTAGGGGGTCTTTTCTCCAAAAAATGCCCCCTAGTATTGTTTGATCACCATTTCCACAGCCCCACCTAAAATATTTTCCACCAGCCGCCACTGTGCACACATGTGCCTAATCAAACAGAGAAAACACATGGAAGTTGCATAAAGTCATTTAAAAAAAAGGAGACATTTCTCACCTGTACAGGCATGGCCCACAGGTTAGGACAGAGGAAGAAGAACCACATGAGCTGGTTGGTATCAATGGCCACCAGGTTACAGATCTGAGCAACGGTTAACTCTCCCATGGACATGTTGGAGGTGCACAGACGCATGATCTTGTTGTAGATTTTTGTCTAGGGAAGAAAACCAACAAAACAACCATGTGGACAAACAGTAGACGAGAATAATCAGTTTTGGCTGTTATACATTAAATGAAGTTTCCTCTACCTGAATGGCCCCGCGTAGGTTGATGCCCGTTTCAATGGCAACATAGTATGAGGCCTGGAGGAAGGTCCTCTGAAGGAGCAGGGCGAAGAACAGCAGCACAGCCAGCACATATGCATTCTCCAGAAACTCTTTGGAGGAAATGAAATAGATACCCAGCAAACTCGTCTGCCAACACAGAGAGGAACGGAGAGGGGAAGATAGTGGTATCGACCAGTTTATCATTGTTTGTCAGGAAGGGATCACAACAAGGTCAATCACACAAGCTGAACTCTGCAGGATTGTGTTGACACTGTCTGTAATGACTTTCAACTAAAATTGTTCCTGTTCACTTCAGAAGTCAAGATGACAATTTAAAATGCATCATTTTCATTTCACAGCGGGCTACAACATTGCATTCTAACTGAAGTGAAGTGGAGCCCTCAGAGATATGTGTTGTGTGAGCTGGAGACCAAATAAAAACGTGGCTAGGTTACAAGAGACAGATACAGTATCTCCCTCAAAGATGAATGAATTAATCAGGTAGATATCATTCACTCAGGAGGGATTACAAATTATTAATTAGATATGTGCCTGATCTTAACATCCACTTTATCTGCTGTCTTTCTCATCCCACTGCTAGTTTGACCCCGAAACACCATGCTGCTACCCTTGTTGGTTTAAATTGTGACAATTTCACAAACAGGCCTATTATCAGTATTTGATTGCCTGGCGAGTCTTTTTTCCATTATTCAATTATCGTTTTCAATTCCACTGGCTCGAGTGAATGTGACTTAGTCTTAGACTTGTCTGTGGTAGTCTGATATTGCAGTGTGTCCTATTGTGGTAGCTAAGAAACTGAGACAGCTTCAGCAGCAATAAGTCTCATTAATATTTGACAATAATTCAATTAGTACACCAATGTGTCATGTCACCTGGGAGAGATAGAGGCATCATAAATGTCTCATCAAACGTTCATAGTGACCTTTAAGAGGCAGGAAGAAGCCATGTAGTGAATCTGTCATGTCTGCTGAAGCTGTGTTTGTCTGTTTCTCAATCCTTTCATCAGTTCTGTTTATTTTTGTCAACCCAACATCAACAGGCTGTACCAAAAAGAGTTCATTTTTACACAGAACTCTAAAGTCCAGGTTATGTTACGCACATTCTGCTGAAGCACATAAGTGTTATGGTCTCACAGGTCAAATTGAACGACATGTCGCTGCAGGTTATTCTGAAACTTTGGCAAACTACACGACAGGCGACACTCTCTAATGACATTTATTTGTGAACAGGGACAACTTCAGCGCCTGAAATATATTCTGTCACTGCCAATATCCCTGGTGTTGAATTGAAAGTGAAGCCAAATATGATACCTATTTGAAAAAGGAATATAAAAGGCCATGAACATATTTAGTTCTTCAATTTATTTTTTTATACTGAGCAATGGGCTCTATTTGAACCCTTGTGGTTCTTTGGTGTGATATCTTTGAAACATATTTTAAAAGGAAATAGCCACAAGGCTATTTAACACTAGTTAAATAAAGGTTAAATAAATAAAATCTAACATGAACACACCATTTCTTGCCAAGGTTAAAATTGATTTGTTTATTTCACATGATATTATTATATTATCTCACTCGTTTGGAGTGGGTGTTTTACACAGTTCTGATGAAGCTGTTAATATATGATAAACAAGGATTCTTTTTAATACCTACATTTACTTTTAGAGCAGTTTATTTAGACATGTATGTGTAATGTTAAGCAGAAATACTTAAGATATTGAACTATTGAGGCAGAAAGTAGCGGAATATTATTGTGGCAAAAAGACAGCAGGTGAGGATAAGAATATGAGAGCAAGCAGGTAAAGACTGGTTTTGCAAATGAAAACTTGAGTAAAAAACAAATTCAGCAGCTTATATACAAAGTTATACAAGTTATATTGCCCACTGTTGTGTTGTTTTATGTTATGCTTCCCTATCATGTGCATGGCAGAGTTGTTGAGCCCTCACCGGCGGCTGAATGGTGCGGTTGTCCTTGCTGATGTGGTGCACGATGCCAGAGATGCAGAGAGGGCCGGCGAAGCCCAGCAGGTCGGCCATGAAGCGAAATGTGATACTGAGGATGAGAGGTCTGCCAAACGCTTTCCTCAATGCCTGCCAGATCAACTTTGGTCCCTGGATGGCTGAGCCCTGAGGCTTCTGAGGGAAGACAAAAACAAAAGGTGGAAAACATTCAGGAGAAATTAACCACATCGGGCTCTTCATGTCATCTGCTGAAGGCAGCTATAGGCATACATCTACTTTCAAGGATTCTCAGAATTACATTTACACATTAAACCCTTAACTATCAGAACATTTACATTAGTACTTTGGTGTAATGAAAAGGATGCAGTGAAGCTAGGAGTAAATGGGTTTGTTATTTCTCTTCCTGCACCAAACATTAAACACAACCAATATTCTGTGGAGATACTGGCAGTATAACTAAAGAAAAAAACTAGTTTCGACAAAACAGGCTTATGACAGAGCCGCATCAGGTAATTGTTTGATCATAAAAGCTAAAATGACACTTTTACTTAAAGGGGACCTATCATGCAAAATGCACTTTTGTACGTCTTTTATACATGAATATGTGTCCCCGGTGTTCCAGGGAACTCACCAAGCGTCAGAAAACACAACCCTCTCTATTTTCCTCCATACCCAAATCTCTAAAAAAGGGGCTGCAACGGATCTGATACAGACTGATCCAGATTTGAAAACTGTCCTGACGTCAGGACGGTGGCGCTACGGCTATTGGGCCAACTCCACCAGTCAGGAGGAGACAGTCACGGCCATTGCCGTTCGAAAGCGCTGGAGACGCTGTAGTACATATGCCAGGCCTGTAGGTGGTGCTGTTCTCACAGAATCAGCCCTTGCAAAAACAGGGCTAAAAAAGTGCAAATTGAGCGAAATGAGGCATGGCTAAAATGCATGATCTGTTTGGTATTTTGAAAAAAAAAGAAGTATAAATATGCCTTATATAGGTATGGTCCTACACTATATTATTATAATATAGCATGATAGGTCCACTTTAAGAGTTGCTCCACTACTGCAACAAAAACCTGCAAAATCAGATCAAGTTCTGGGCGTCCATCCTCCCCACCAGTGTTGGGCAAGTTACTTCCAAAATGTAATACAGTACATATGACTTATTACTGTCTTTTTTAAGTAATAAGTTACATTACAATATTACTGTCTCTGAAATGTAATGATTTACACTACTTTTATATTACTGTTGAGTTACTTTCACCAAAATAACCGCAAAATAATGGCTAGGCATTTTAAATGCTAAAATGTAGTTTAATGCAGCAACTGTGTAGGCCCTTAAGGCTACTAACAACTTTTATTACACGGCTTAGTTGAATACTCGATTCTGAATTCAGAACACGTGACACGTATTGTTAATACAGTAGTACAGACCACTGTCAGGGACTATAATGGCCGTTGCTAAGGAGGATCAAGAAAGAGAAAGGAAAAGAGGTTAAAAGATGGAGCGCTGAACGTCAGATAAATCGTCAGAAGAAGGCAGACAGGAAGTAAACACTAACAGGAACACGATGTGGGCTCTGCAGTGTTTAAGGACTTGTTAGTGGATCATAAACTGTTAACAGAGTTGGCCAATGCTGCCGTAAAGTTGTTGTTGTCGCAGTTCCAGCCGTTGGTGCGCCGTGGAACGGCATTTTAAGTCAATAAAATCATTTCAATTAATATTGGGAGTCAAGTCGTTAGTTTGCTTAGTATCTGGCCGTGTAATAAGCGGGATAATGTGCAGCGGCTTGGTCATTATGGGGAAAAGAACACCCTTCATGCTCATCAAGATCAGCCTGTCGGGGGTTCTTTCCCCACAATTTTTCTCTGGTGTCGGAATGTCTTGCGATGTTGATGAATTCTTAAAAAACAAAACAGCATTTAATTTCGGGTTGTGTTGTGTTGTGTGTAAATGTGTTGTAACTGCGTTACTGAGAATTGTAACAGGTACAGTAGTATATTACCCAAATTTCATTAGAAATGCGTTACATTACTTCGTTACAGCAAAAAGTAATACAAGATTAGCCTACTGTAACTCTGTTACTTTTGTAACGCGTTACACCCAACACTGCTCCGCACTGCGACTGCTGCGTCACGTGACTGGTGATTAATATAGTTTCACAGTAGAGCTCAGACCACCTACTTGATAAGATCTATAACTGTAAAAATGATCATCAAAAAGTCGAGGCAGACTGGTAGAGCTACTCATTCAAATGTTATATTACTATAAAAAACAACACAACAGCTTGTTCGAGTGAGTTTGCAATGATCAGAGGAAAACATCTGGACTGTCCTGGTGCAGTAAACACTCCCACATCCTCACTGTGTGTTTGTGTGTGTGTGTGTGTGTGTGTGTGTGTGTGTGTGTGTGTGTGTGTGTGTGTGTGTGTGTGTGTGTGTGTGTGTGTGTGTGTGTGTGTGTGTGTGTGTGTGTGTGTGTGTGTGTGTGTGTGTGTGTGTGTGCATGTGTGTGCGTGTGACTAGGTCATTTACAGAAATGGGTCACTGTGCACGTCACATAAACACACACACACACACACACACACACACACACACACACACACACACACACACACACACACACACACACACACACACACACACACACACACACACACACACACACACACACACACACACACACACACAATCCCTTTCCACCTTGGGTTCAGACGAAAAGGAAGGAGGACATTTCCTTTTCACACACACAAAGTGAAACTAGCTTCCCATGCAGTTCTTTCACCCCCCCCGGGGGTCGGGATGACACCACGTTCACAGTGGAATGGGAATGACCCGCCTCCTCCATGCTCCCCTTTAATCCCCCCCCCAACCACTTATCCACTGGGATCTCTAAATCTCTCTCATCCTTTCTCCTGGCGGAAGTAAGTGGGTTTGCGTTCACACCGGACGCACATGCAGCAGTGACGAATCTCTGTGACCTTCCAAACACTGGAAAACAGCGACCCAGGACAAGAGGCCCTTCACCTCCAACCCCTGACACGTGCTCCGTAACGGAGACCGAAAGAGAGGCAAGAACAAAAGAAGGAACAATTATATGTAATGAGAAAACTACCCCAGTTTGGACTGATTTTTAAAAGACTGGAAGCACACTGCCTTGGGACGAGTGTGGAAAAAAACAGAAAGGACAGAAGCATTTGTGTGCGCCTCTCCAGAACATAATTAACGTTAACCATGAATTTCAAACAGCTGAACTGCAAACTAGCCTGTATTTCAATTTTGCGAAAAAGAAGAGAAGGGACTAACAAAGCGTCAATATTTCATGCCTATATAGGAGGAAGCATTGTTTGTTAAAAGCAGCAGCTAATACATTTCGCATGCATTAGTAGGTACATGCATGAAAAGCATTGAGGATAAACTCAAAGGGAAACTTTTTTGTAGCTTTTATCTAAAGGCACTAAGATTTAATTTCATTTTAATTTCATTCAAGCATTAAATTCTTGTTTGTATTGTCCAGCATCCAACCATCCGTTTTCCATACCAGCTAAGAGTTGAAGGGGGGTAAGTATCATGCAATGGATGAGAGGGAAGTATATCAAAGACCGTGTCATCATTTAAAGTTTCAGTTTTAACTAAGCTGCATGTCTTTTGATTGTGAAAAGAAACCCTTAAAGACACAATATTTCCACTTTTCATCTCTGTGACGTCTGACTAGAGTTTAATAGTCCCAGTTCAGCCAGCGCTGAGTCATCACAGGACAGAGATCAGTGTCTCTTTAGACAGCTGCATTACAAAAAAGAAAAGAAAATGAAAACGTTGTAAATTCCCAGATCAGGTTATGCACATGTCAGACTGAGACAGCAATCCAACATTACACACACAAAATGACAGCTCAAATAACCAATAGAATCAGAAAGGTGGGGAGGTCGTCCATGAGGAGCTGCACTCAGAACACAGGCTCTTACGTACATCTTCAAATCCTTTTATTTGTTTGTGAGTGGAAAATCCAAGTTGATCCCTTGATGATAATCACCACATTCAGTAGTTTACTCCTTGTTTTATGATCTGGTTTGTGTGAGTATGCTATCGTCAAACAGCAAAGAAAACTTCACATGCAGATTTTTGCTTTGCTCTTCGTTTAAAACATGCTTTTGCTTTGGACTGAAAACGACAAGCCATAGAGAAAACGCCAATATATGAATACTCCCTTAATCCATTTTTTTTTCCAACATACACATCATATTCTGTTGCTTTCTGTTGCAATCTGCACCAGAGCATGATACATCCACGACTATCCATTCAGCACCAATGACGCAACAAACAGAGTGAGGCTTTTGATTTCAGTTGCAAAGCCTCAGATCTGACATCAAACACATCGACTATGTTTAAAAATATCTCAAGGCAATCTTAAATTGGCTGCCTTTTGCACTGGTCATTGGGCTAAATGGATTCCAGCACTATACAGCACTCTCTCTAGAAAGAAGTAAAGATGAACCACGCACCAGTTGGCCGGGGCACTCACCTTCTGGTCCTCGAAGGCCTTGCGTAGCTTGATGTAGTTGGTGAGGGCCCTCATGGCGATGGGCAGCTTCCCGATGACCTTGAGGTCGATGGGTCGTCTGTGAGCGTCTGTAATAAAAGTGTTCATCCACCAGTAGGTGGCTTTGGACAACAGGTTCACGAAGGGCTGAAGGAAACGAACACCCAGGTCCTGGAGGTCCTCGGGGGGCTTCACCTCTGTGGGGTCAGCGTAACACATGTAGCGCTGTGAGAAAAGAAGGGAAGACAGACAAGTTTGACTATTAGACTCACTGTTTCCCATGCAGGGGCCTGTAAAATGGATAAGATGAACACGTGCAACCGCTGATTAAACCCTCAATGGAATATAACATTAGCTCCTCCCTGGCATGTTCTATGGAGTACACACAGTTTTTAGTGGGATTAATTATAGTTGGCAGGAAAAATAATTGGTCTCTATTGTGGACCAATAACAGGTTGCCTGATGTCACTATGACAATTGCCAAATCTTGGCAAAGCTTTTTATATGTTGTACTTTTATAACAATTAGGCTGAACAGAATAGAAGAAAAGGAGAATAATAGATGTGGTGCACACAACTTTAGATTTAGGGAAATTAGCACAGAATAGGTCCAGATACTGGTTATTAACAAGTTATAATTATTTCATTATACCAAAAGTCCCATGATATTTTGTTTGAAATTGGTTTAAGATCTGAAATAATAATGTTTTGCAGAATTACGTTTTGTAGTGTATGAAATAAATCAGATTTCATTGGAGAATTTGGGGGATTAGCAGTATTTTGGGATGGAAGAGTAAAGTTTAGACTGGATTATTAAAAAAGTGATTATTGATCATTGTAACATTAATTCACAAAGAAATGTAACATTTTAAACAATTTAATTAATACAAAAGAGATAGTTTGAAATGAACTTTAAAGTTATGATGCAGTAGAAATTGGCAGAGTCTTTGCTTCAACAGAGTGCAGTGCATGATGGGAGAATCCCTTCCTCTGCCATTCACCCTGAGGAACGAGATTCAATAACAGATGTGTTCTCAGTGCAGAGGTTAACAGATTCAAACACATACCAAATTCTCCAGGGGAAAAGGGTACACGAGTCTGACATTTTCTCAGTGGCGTCAGAAAGGGTTTGATAACAGGAAATGTCTAAGGAAAAGTTATGACCACGATCTCTGTGTTGTGCAATCAATACAACAGACCTTTAGATGCCACTGCTCCAACATCAGTTTTAAGATATTGTTGATCACATTCCAGACACTGTTTAGTGGGCTGGCACATTAAACAGTGTACGAGCCAGATAAGAGGGCAGAGGCTGTTATTGTCAGTTCAGTTTCATCAAGGGATCTGACCTTCATTTCCTTCCTTTTGTGATTCAGGTGTGTTGATTTTCTTGCCTTATTTTTTATGCCTTTTTTATTTAAGTTTGTGTTTTTTAAGCATTGCTAAAAGCATGTTGGGCTGTCAGTCAGCCCTTTGTTCCCGACGGAATTATATCAACAACTATTGGATGGATTCATGTGACATTGTTTACAGATATATATTGTTCACACAGAATGATGCGAAATTACTTGAGTGATCCCCTGACATCTAATCTTGTATTTTTGAAAATCTTGGAAATCAGCCATATATTTTGGTACAGTAATTCAGGTCTCCTTCACTATTAGTTGCAACATTCGTCACAATAACAACATAAAAATAACTTTCCAAACAACATTGGTGAAAATGTAAAACATAATGTAGCATCATTGCATCATCAAATGTTTATCTCATCCTGGGAAGCTTTACTGATCACTGGCTATTGAAGACGTTAGTATGTCAGATTAAAACTAAAGGTGAATAAAGCTTTAATACAGGACACATTCATATGACTTCACACACAAGAAAACACACAGACACTCACCCTTCCCAGGATGACATTGACCTCCACAGCCAATAGGAGTCCATACAGCAGCATTAGCAGTCCGGTGATGCAGTAGCGTAGCTGCCGGGGGCCGATGCCATGCTCGGTGTATTTGGCAAACTTGATGGTCTTCATGATGAAAGCCAGCACCCAGTAGATCAGCAGGGCTGAGGAGAATTAGCAGGGATCAAAGAAGGACAGCACTTCACTGGACGAGCCAAAAACATAAATAAACCAACTCCAGATGGCTAATATCAGAGGACTTATCAGTGTTTTTGAAACTGGATTTGAGTAATTTATTTGATGCACTTGTTAAAGTCTGTGTTACTTTTCATAAATGACATAAAGACATGGTTCAATTGATGTTTTTTGAGTGATGTTTTCCGTGTTAGCATCATTTCAGTTCTTGTTTTTGTCTTTTGGGACAGCTTTCTGTCCCCAGAACTAAACATGGAGAATCAGCGTTTAGTTATTATAATCAAAATATCTGGAACAAACTCCCAGAAACATGCAGGTCCGCTGCAACTCTTACTACTTTTAAATTCAGGCTCAAGACTTTTATTTTTTCCACTGCTTTTAACTGAACTATTCATATCTCACACTGCACTGTAACTTTTATTCATGTATTTCATACCTGTGTTATTCTATATTAGCTTGTTCTATGTTTATTTTATTCTCTTTGCTTTTTAATGACTGTTTTTAAATGCCATCTTATAATGTGTTTCCGTTGCACTATTTCTTAATGTTTTTCATTTTTGTAAAGCACTTTGAATTGCCTTGTGTTGAAATAACACTATACGACAAAATATGTATCTGACCAGTGTCAGATTTTAAGGCAATCTCATTTAATCCAGAAAAGACCACTAATATAATATTCTTTGAGAAGATGAGAAGACCATCTATACCCCAACAATAGTGGCAGCGTGTGAGTCAATGGAACCAATTCATGAGTTTCGATTTAGAAGTTTCATTGCTGTTCGTGCAATAATAAAACACAGAGACTGTCTATGCAAACACAGAAGACTATTAATGATGCGTGTGGAGGGCAAGTCTTAGAGGAGGGCAAGTCTTAGAGCAGCACCACAGGGATCATTACAGAAGCAATAAAAAATCTGAACAAATACAAAGTATGTCCTAATTAACTTCACCGTTGCTATGGGGATACTTCATTATATTGTATTAGTTTTCACTGTTCATAACGGATAATTATTATTTTTTATATAACAAAAGGAGGAAAAAGTAAGAAATAAATTATTGTAAAAAAACACAGAAACCTTTCACCAAGAACGATTATAATTGTGTAATTGTGAAGAGCTTGTGTAATTTGATGTATTCTTCAGTTCTTAACTCAGAGGTGAAAGAGGTGCCTAAGGTCAGTTTCATAGTCAAGACATTCTCACTCCCAACTCGTCCCTTATAGTCCTTGGTCGGGACCATCTGCAGTCACTTTTTGACGCATTGAGGTACAATATAAACTTCAAAGTGCCGAGTGTAAAGGACATTTCTAGAGCAAGGACTCGAAATACAATGATAACACGGGAGAGCTGGAACTTGATGGCAGACACCAGGGCCGTCCCTCCCTACAGGCCGATCATGCAGACTGCGTGGGGCCTCACCTTACGGAGGGGGCCTCACCTCGCGGAGGGGGCCTCATCTGGGGGGGGGGGGAGCCGCAAATGCGGCGCACCTATGCGTTTATGCGGCGCAATTAGTGTGGTATCGCCGCTGCGAGGCTCCACTAGAAAATATTTACCTCAAAACAGAGTAATCCAACTTTGCATTAATCAAGTGACGGAATTTAAAGACGTTATGTAAGTTGAGTGTGTTGCATTACTCCTTCGTTAGGTTATGGCAACAACTACGTTTGAAATAATGTATTGTTTGGGTTTAAGTATCTTTTTAATTTAACTTAAATTACAAAGTAGGTTATGTGGGGGAAACTTCTGTGTAGCAATGCAGTGGGAGTCACCGACTCAGGAAGGAGACACAGGGAGAGCTGGAGCTTTGATGTCAAACACTGATGGTTTATTTAAGAGCTTCGGCCGGAGAATTCACAAAACAAATCTGGAGTCAGAGGTTCTGACTGCACGGTACAGTTGCCACGTCAATTCTCAAGAGCCTCTCTCTCGATAGACCTTTTAACTGGTTCAGAGAGAGCAATCAACATATTTGAGGAGATAGACTAAACAGCTGGGAACACTGAATTACTTGCGTCTGACACTTATGGCCTCGAAGATTTCACACCTTGGAGTCCACAAGCACCAAGAAGGAAGTGTTCCAGCGTACCCACAACAATAAACCATTTGTGACCGAGAGTTGCCCGGTCATAAACTGGTAACAACAACATATGGCTGAAGCAGCCCCTTCCTTAAGGGAGATAACAGACGTCAGGGTTGGTCATAAACGTCAAAGGGCAAAAGGTGGATATCTAGGAGAATTATTCCCTAACAGTTTATTTATGCAAGTTTAGTAAATGTTAGTCATTGACTTCAGTTTTATGCAAAAATGACACCAGAGGGTACGTCGAGTGTCATAGGTCACCAAGCTGCTGTATTGGACGAGCCAGCAGTGAGAACGCAATTTTTGTTCAATAGTTTGATTCATCTGAGTTCTACAAGCCTCGATCCCTAACACCCAAGAACTTTCATTACATTTTATATTTTATACTCAGTGCTCTTGTTTGAAAGCCTCACTTTGGTTCAGAGCTAAGTAAACACCAACAGCAAAAGACAAGACATGAATCAATGGGGGAGCAAAGTTAAAAAAGAAAACATCTAATGAGTACTAAACAAAGGATAGTTGAATTAAAAAAATACTGTACCTAATAGTAGTTTGGGGAAGTTGGAGGTCTCGATGTTATGATAGTAGATAATAGAGGTGATGCCAGCCATAAAGGCCAGAGCTGCAGGCATGTATAGATGAAGATGAAGGGATTGGCTGAATCTGCAAATTAAATTCAAATCAGATAGAGAAAGAACATCTTGAGTTAACACAACGTGACAAATGTGAAGGGCTCCTAAGCACAGCATTGAAGTGAGTGTGAATAGCCCGATGAAGAGGCCAGCTCTTTAATTCAGTACACACTCGTCTCCAGTCTGCAGAAAGGGCTCAAAACAGGTAGCAAGTGCTTACTTGACCTTGTTTGAAAGAGACTCATTGCGTTAGGAAATAACAGTATGCATAGGGCACAGAATTGAAGAAAAAGGATAACAGGATATAAATAACGAGACAGGGATTTAGAGAGATGGATTCTCTACTGTATCTAGCCATGTCTCCCGGAGACTGAAAACATTTCTTATATGTGGCTGATTATAAAAATACAAGTATAATAAGATTGGACATATTATTAATACAGACACAACGTTTTAAGGCACATGCTTTATGGCTGTATTAAGTGTTGTTGGAAAAGCACAAACACCTTAAATTAGTTAAAATGTGATATTAGCTTAAATTAGCAATACCAGCCACTGATTTGTATATTATATTAACACAAGACAAGCAAATGCTGTAGGTCTATTGTTACAATACAGCTTATCATGTACAAATGACAATTGCACTTACTGAGTAGTAGTAACTGCCCTATTGTTTCTGTTGGTAATTTGGCAATAATTGTATCATTTAAGAGTCATCCCTCAATCCTGGGTTAGCTTCAGCCATAGGCTACAACACTGTAACACAATAGTGTGGCTTTCTTCTCAATGAAGCTTGTCATTTTTAACAAGATACAAATAATAATTTGTGAGCAATCAGCAATTGCAACTCTTACGTTTTTGTCAAAGTGCAGCTGCTAACGCTAGGGTAGTTATCTATGGATTAAATACAAAATGAAATAGAACCAGGCGCTTCATTATCACAAACCTGTACAGTAGCAGATATCCAGAATATGGTTGGAAAACCGCTGTATGTAATATAAAATATAAACTATATATATTAAAAAAGCTTCTCTAGTGAATCAATATTGAGTAATTGCTATAAGCAGATGAAGTTGATAAATAATATAGGCCAAAAAAGTGTATTGTATTCACCTGCCATTCCAGGTTTATAAAATAGTCTTTGATTAACTACTAGCATGAGTCAGATATACTCTCCGTCCCACAGCACAATGCAGATTGATTAATCATCTCAATGTCAGTTGCATCTGTTTATCAAATACCACTGTTTAAAAGTAGTTAATAATGTAAAACGTTAAACATTTACAAGTAAGTAATAATAATTGGAATAGCCTAACAATTGCTTATAAATACTAAATAGTATAGTCACACATCATCAGTGTCAGTGGAAATTAAGAGAAAAACATCAGTTACACTGGCAGGTTAGATTATTTAGTGTGTGGAACATACCCATCAGACACAATGCCCTCTGCAAACTCACAGACGAGGATAAACAGTAGGACAAAGGTGAGCAGCCAGCGCAGGTTGTGACCCTGGAAGTGCAGCCAGGTGCTGTGGTGGATGTGGACCTTTGAACTCTGGCTGGCCCAGCCTAAAGAAGGAGACAGGAAATGAAAGTTTTAATAAAAGCATCAGGGGTTTGTCACTTTAAATACATATGCAACAGTAACATTAAAGAGTGACTTGTAATCATGTCTGTAGATGGTCAGAAAGTGTAAAGATGGATCGAAATAACAGTAGTTCAGTCAGACAACTCACGTGTTTCTTTAACATGTTTATTAGAAGCAGCATATAGTTGAGTTTGGCGACTAGGCTCGGGCATCATCACTCCATAGATATACATAGCACGATGAGTGATGATTAAATAACTAACCCCCGAGCCTACAGGTGTAAGCTGGGGTGGTGGTGGGGCAGGCAAGCAGCAGCGACGTAGAGGTAGCTGCAGCAATAGCAGCAGCAAGCAATGCATGGAGAGAGATCTGGCAGGTTAAATAGAGCGGCATATTAAGGAGACTCTGTTTGGTTGGTTGTAGAGTAGTGAGGGGCGTTATGTATGAATGCAGCATAAGTGCTCGAGTTGACTGCCTGAACTAGCTCGCAGGCTTCGCCCCATTTAGACAGTAGCTTGACACACTTCTCTGTGAGTAGCTGTGAATTGGCACTCAAGAAAATAAACATTTACACAGTTTTGACCTAGTGCTTTCTATTCCCAGTGCAACCCTTAATTTCAGGAGCTACATATATGATAAAGTGCTTTTATGATCACAGCTTAATGAAAAGGCTGAAGGACTAGATTGTAAAGACTAAAAGGATGGGGCTGCTGGGGGGAATTGCAGCCATTACCATTTCTGAACTCAGGACACTTATGTTATTTTCACTTTCATTACATTACTCGAGGTTAGGCAGGTACGACAATGAGAGTGGCCAGATAGCTGATGGCCTTAAACCGCCATGTCAATTATTTGAGCTTTTATTACATGTTACTTGTTAGACGCTTTTATCCAAAGTGACTTACATACATTCAGTACTGTGGACAATCCCCACAGGAGCAATTTGGGGTGAAGTGTCTTGCCCAGGGACACAACGACATGCTGACTGCAGTGGGGTTTGAACTGCAGTGGGGTTTGAACTTGCTACCCCCTGATTTGAAGTCCAGCACACTACCCACTGAGCCACAGCCTCCCTCCACTTTTATTGTGTCTGTGTCCTTTCACTTTGCTAGATGTACAAATCTTTATTATAACAATGATATAGTCATCAAATTGCAATTGATGTAATATTGTGAGTCACGGCTGTCATAAAACACATCTCTGGTGACAACATTATGTTAATCACTCTGTTTGCTGGCACCTTAGCGGTTGGACACTTCATCTCTATGTGAAGTGTTGGCAGCACAGGCTGGCAATCGCTCACACACACACACACACACACACACACACACACACACACACACACACACACACACACACACACACACACACACACACACACACACACACACACACACACACACACACACACACACACACACACACACACACACACACACACACACACACACACACACACACACACACACACACACACACACACACACACACACACTAAACACGATAACTCACACTGCGCTCCAGTGTTGTGCCTTACCTGACGCAACATTTCTCGCATGTGTAAAACAAACTAAATTCAGTTTTTGATTATACATAACTTGGACTTATCTGGAATATGGGAAACATTCAGGGTTTCGGTTTGACAGCAGCTAGAGAAGGCTGAGGCTGGAGCTTAAATGGTCTGCAGAAAATTATAATCTATTGTGTGCATCAATGAATTATATCACTAATTTTGTTTACAAATAAGCAAGGGTTCGAAATTCTTAAATTTTATATTTTTCTTGTATATCTTATGTGATATTTGATTAAACATATTTGAGTTCTTGACTGCATGTTGAAAGAAAAAATCATTAAGATCTTCAAAACATGTTTTCACCCGTTTCAATTATTTCTAAGCAATAGGTTGCAGCCCTAACTGAGGTTGAACATGTTTTTAGTCATTAATGGTGCAAGAAAACTGTCTCATAAAAGTGTTGTGGTGCATGTATCTACATTGTTAACCTTGATGAGACTAGCTGACTCGCTGCAGGTCAGGATACAGCGCAGAGTACATCTATAATGCTGGACACAAAAGCTTTTAATACCTCTGAAGGGTTTTATTTGGTTAGAGAGTTGTTAGTCAAAGCAGTAGAGCTGGAGGTGACAGCAGAGAGAGAGAATTCATATACAGTATTTATACAGTCTATGGATCACAGCAGCTTCAGGAACGTTCTCTTGGGTCGTCCTGGACACACACTGCTTTTCAGTCATTGTTTTGCCTTTCCCATTTCAGTTTGCTAGTTGCCATAACTTCATTCTGATGTCTTTGTGCCAATCATACAAGAGTGTTTTTAAAATGACAAACAAAACATTGATGAAGGCCATCTCCACAGTGTTTCTACAAACATCTAACCTTTGAAAAAGATACAAAACTAACAATATTTGACAGCCAGAGCAGTTCTAAGAGACATGCTCACATGCCGATTTTTACCATGTTCACCATCTTAGTTTAGTGTGTTAGCATGCTTACAGTGGCTTGGTACTGCTTGCTGCTTAGTACTTAGTTTTTTTATTACATTACAGTACATAACACACGTAAGACGCTCTTTTTTTTCTTAGCCATTATCTTTAGCAGATATTTGGTCAAAATAAATATTGGGCAAATTTGGCGCAGTGGTTGCACAGTTTACAAAAAAAGGAATCACCCAAGTTGTTACAATTCATGCTTGGGCGAACATTGAAGTCTTTATTAAACTTTACAACAAATGTAATTGTTGAGATATTTCAGTGGTTGCACAGACAGACAAGACAGACAGACAGACAGGTTAGCATTGCTAGCATGGCTAATAACACATATATCTATAGTGACTAAAAGTGCCTACTTAAAAAACAAAGAAACAGACAAACTAAATGAGAGATATGATTAATATATGGAACTATGTATGGATGCAATCGGGAGTGTAATGCGGTTATTGAGGAAGACAAAATATAATCAATGAACAATGGGGAACACAGAGCAACTATCAGACCAGTTGTATCAAGGGACATTGTGTTAAAAAGGTACACATGGTGTGCATATACTCAGATGTAAGAGGAAGGATTATGAAGCGCGTTTTGTACGAGTGGAGCAGCAGTGTGTGCAGCGACGCTTAGCTGGTTACACGATGGTGACACTAATGGAATGGCCAGCAGCCAGGAAGGAGGGCAAAGGATATAAAGACCTATCTGAGTCTATACATCACATTCACCAGCGTGTAAAGAAATAAGTCCTTAACTTCTAGCACACTTCTAACCTTGCTAATGGGACTACAGAGAGGGTGTTTTAACTGAGGGAACAAAGTGCACATACGAGCGCATTAATAAAACAAAGGTAAAGTGAATAAATACTGTAGACACTAATGAAAACAGATGCTTTCATTAGTCTATTAGTCACTTTACACACATATATACCGAGTGTGTGTGTGTGTGCACAGGGAGCTATGATGGGTAGAGGTTGAGGATTTCACCTCACAGTTACACTCACCAATGAAGAGGATGGGGAAGGTGATGAAGAGGAGGAACACATGTGGCACCACGTTGAGCGCATCCAGGAAACAGCCGTTGTTCAGAACCCCCCCGTCCACATTGTATGCCACCGAGTTATTCTCGTTCCCACAGAACGCCAAGGACATGGTGGAACTGGGACTCTGCGAGGAACCGGCCGGTGGAGGAGGAAGAGGAAGAGGAAGAGGAGGGGAGGGGGGGGAGGACCACAGACAGGAGGAAACACAGACAGATTTTAAATAGTGGCTCTCAGAGCATGTCAACCCTTTTCTAAGGGAACACTGGATGGTGTCTTCAATAGGAAATTCCCAAAGAGACCTGCTCCCTCTGGAATCCAGCTAACAAAAATCAGATCCAATGAAAGAGAGGAGACAAAGGAAAAAAGAGAAAAAGGAGGGAAATGTGGGGTCAGAAGCAGTCACAGCAGCTGCTCTCTCTCCTCTCCGGCAGACTAAGCTTCTTTCCTGGCCATGCTGGTGAGAAACATCTGCACGCCGTCCGTCTGCAATCCTCAGGCATCCTCTGAAACTGAAGCTTCACTTGGCTCTGCACCGCTCCACGAGAATGCATTCAGACACACATACACACAAAAGCATGCACACACACACAGAGCAGCGGTGGCATTCTGCAGTGCATCCGCTATTCTTGTCTCTTTGAAAATGAAAGTCGACCTTGGAAGACAAGGCAGAGGGAGGAAGAGTATACCGGCGAGCAGGAGGACTGAGAGCCACTGAAGACAAGGGGGGGAAGTGCAGGAGAGCAGTGAAAGATGTAGAGAGAGAGAGAGGAGAGAGAAAGGGGGGGTACAGATGCTGAGTGAGCAGTAAAAGCATCATACAAAAGGTACGTGTGAAGCATGAGCAAGCGCACTAATCTAAATCCTTACCCCAGCAATTACATAACCCTACCCCCAGTCATTTATCATTTTGGTTCACATTAAGAGCATTAAGTAAGGAAGAGCACAGCAGCGACTGAATAACCAGGCTGGAAACGTAAAAAAAAAATGATATAAAATATGAATAAATGCCACGGATGCAATATGTGCCGGTCCTGCAGGGAGAGATCCCGCGGCAGCCAATCACAGCTGACGTTTCTCAGAGGGATCAGCAAAGAGGCACATGGGAGCAGATTTTGATAATTCATGTTTGAATAGACTCATGGCCTTTTTTTTACTAGTAAAAATAATTGATGTTTAGTGTAATCCAAGCCACCATGACCTTTGCATAGTGACAACAACAATAGGAAGAAAAGCCTAAATGTGTTTACATATCTGTGGAATCAAGTGATATAAGAATACACAAACAGATAATGTATTCATAGTCATTATACACATGTGGCCCTGTGCATGCCATTAATAAAAGCAACATAACATTACTCTTGATGTCGAGCTGCTTGAAAGAGATATTCAGTTTTTTCCAATTAAAATGTCTGCTTGTCTGCAGGTTTGCATTCTGCATTTCTTTCATTAACTAACTCCCTGAGAAACCAATTGCTGTAAAGTAATATTATGTAGTAGTAATTCTACAGATTTCTTTACTTAAAATGCCAGGAGATGCTTTCTACTTTTCCATTACAGTTTGCTGTAATTGTAGCTGTGCAGATGTAAAGCAAGACATAAAAGCATGTGTAACAATTTCATATTTATTCCAGGAAGAATTAAAAAACGTTTGATTCAATTGCAGCAACCTTGAGTGTCTCAAATTATGTTAATGTTGGCGGAGTTTACAAACGCAGGCAGAGCAGGCTTTTCTTCGCAAACAAATAGCTGAGACATATTTCTCTTTTAAACTAATAGAGTATTAGAAAAATAATAAATCAATGCGATTACTTTTAGGAAGCTGTTACACTGAAGGTCCAAAGGAATTTCGGAAGCATTGACATGTGAAGGAACAAGACACCGGGCATAGCTGGAAGTAAAGAAATTCTTGCTAATCTTTCATTTGAACACACAAGATAAACAGGTCATAAAGACTGCAGCCACATCCTCTCACTTCCTCTTACCCAGAAGACCATAGACCAGCTGACAGTAAACAGCTAGGCAATATGTGGCTTCTTGAAGGAGAGGGATACTTCTGTTCTGTTTAGCAAAAGTAGACAGCAATTCCAGACATACTTGCCAACCCTCCCGATTTTCGCGGGAGACTCCCGATTTCATTGCCCTCTCCCGGTTTCCTCCCGGGGTCATATTTCTCCCGCATTTCTCCCGATTTCTGACAAAATCAGATTTACTCAGGACTGTTTCCACTCGGACTTTAATACAGCTACACCATTGTTTGGTTTCCATGGTAGCGCGTCTCTTTAGACGCAACTGAAAGTCTGAGAGGGTGAGGAAGATAGTCACAGCAAACAGAACCAGAATCGACAATTCAACCCTCTGCTCACTCCTTTCCTTTCCTTTCCACATATGCTCCATCAAGGATGGTGCTACAGGCCGCAACTAGCACTTACAACTACAATAAGCATGTTAATGTTAATCTAATACAGCTCCGGCGAACCACTAGCCCCCCCCCCCCCCCCCCCCCCCCCCCCCCCCCGCGCTGGTTTTGGAAATGCTCCCGATTTCTGAGGTCTCAAGGTTGGCAAGTATGATTCCAGATGTTATGTCAGCAGGGGTTTTACCAACACAATGAGAACAGATTGCATCATGCAAGATACTGCCAGCATCAATGCCTCATATAAATAAAACAGCTTTATCATGAACTGTATTATTATCCTTCTTTTTTTTTTACTTCTGGGAAAACTGGCTGAGTTGTGGTTCTGTGCTGCCCTACATTTGAGATAAGCACTGTCCATCACTGGATTGCCTGGGGAGAGTTAAAGCTTCAGTGTGTAAAAAGAAAGAGAACAATGAGTAGAGCAGAAGCCACTCACAGAGACCCTTAGAAAATACAAAAGTGCTTAGTAAACCTGGGGTGCTTACAACAAAGATCGTGTATAATGCATTCCTAAAAACACTAATAGGAACAGCAAGAAATCGAGACTCTGCCATTGTTATAGAACCACAGATACAGACAGATGCCAACTAAATGTAACATGCTTGAATGTGTGAACAGTGTGTATGTGTATGTGTATGTGTATGTGTATGTGTATGTGTATGTGTGTGTGCCTCTGGGAGTAAAGTGAGGGTGAGAGGTGACTGATGTTATAATTTATATGTGAATCAATGTAGCAGGTTTCTCGCCCACGGATTGAAGGAATAAAATAAGTGTAGTGCTCATCCTAGAAAATGTTCTCTGTTCATCTGGCAGTGACAAATGTTCAACAGCTCAGTCGAGAAACCAACAAATGCAATATTTCATACTCTCCTTTCATTTCTGCGAGAGCCATGAATATTGATGATGTATTAACACGGGGAATCCTCAACTACTATCCAAAATGACTTGTTGCATAGTCTTGCATTCAATTCAGGACTGTAAAGCATTCAGTTGACATTTATATATAGGCTAGGTCTATTATGCACGTGTCAAATACTTCATGATTCCAACACCCCTTATAGTACTACTCTGTTGGGCATGAACTGCTTACAACATGCAGCCTGCTATTTAAAGTGAGTATCGACCAGTGTGAGAGACCAGGTGACTTACCAGTTTATATCGTGAGATCATTGTTGCAGCGGCGTTTCCCTGACTCCCAAAACTCTCTTCAGTACTGTCACATGCGTCGATTGGTCGTTAAAAAAACAAAAGGGGTACAATCTCCCAGATTGCACTCTCTCATGTGTTCAGAGTGCAGCCGACTTCTTGCCGTCCCACTTTGTGTTTGACCACCAACCAGGCGGAGGTTTAAGGAAGAAGGCAGTGAGCCATAGGCGGCGCGTGAGGCTCAGGTTTGGGAAGGCTAACTTGTTTTACCTGACGCTGCCCGCCTCCGACTGAGATCAACTCAGTGAAAGCACAGCCTGCTGACCAATCAGAGCTCAGTGTGCGGAGTTTAAATCTATCAAGTCATATTACAGGATAAAGGAAATACAGTTTAAACTGCCGTATGCAGGGAAGACGCCGATGTGTCGCGCATAATATCATAATATATCATATATTTCCTTATCTGAGTCAGCGTGCAACACAGTGTCACATACTGTAGGCAGAACTTGTGAGCTGTCCACGGTCCTGAACCCGGGTACAGAGGAGAAGGAGGAACAGGAAGAAGAAGAAGAAGAGGGCTAGTCTTCCATGGTAGGCCGCCTTTGGACTACAACGGGTTAAAGTAGCAGGGGCAGCTCAGCTGTCGATGCGACGCTGAAACTCGCAGCAGACAGCAGTCACGTATCGTATGTGGTCATGTACCGGAGCGGTTAAAGCGATGCTGCAGAGATACACACGTGTATTTACATTACATGACGGATGTTCTGGGTGACTTTTAGATAAACACAAGTTCGCATTTACAATTAACAAGTCACACATGTACTCTTATTGTCAACCTTTTTGACATTTAGGGTTAATTAAAAGCAGGATTACAAATCCAGATGGGACTAACCCTTAGAGTGTAATGATATTCAATAAGGGGCACTATTGCCCCCTGTGGACGTTTCATTCCAAAGCTGTATGGCTCCACAACCTCAATTTAAGCCGAGCTGGTGAAACAGTATAGAGAAGGCGAAAGTATGTCATGAGGTAGAATCTCAATTTCCCTTCTTTTCTTTTCCTGAAAATGTATGCTGTGTAAAATCTGCTGATAGTCCTGGCTGTCTGTACTACGACAATCACTAACTAGATGTTGTTCTCTCTCTGTAACACCAACCTGGCAGTGTAGTGATGAAAAATGCAAAGCAGGGGGAGAAGAAATCTGTACGCACAACAGAAACTCAATTCTGTGATGAGGAGCAGTCTTTTATTGAGCTTTGAAAAGACAGATTAGACATCAGCTATTGATTACAGTTTGCCAGTTTTAACCCGTCCTTTCATACTGATGAATGAGTCACATGTCTGAAGAGAATGCTGAGCATGGCCATGCGGATGTAAAAAGAGGTCAGCCATGTACAGGCTGAAGACGACTGATTATTGACTGGATCATCCTTTAATAAACAAGACAGTGAGGATGCTTACTGACCCTATGGTGTCAATAGTTTGATAACATGACACAAGGCTTTATAAGAGCCTATAATACAGATGAGTCAAAACAAAGGACCAATTTCAGCTTAACAATGATAAGCTTCTTAATCAGTGTGGATTTTCTTGGCAGGCTGTTGATGAGACTAGAAGAACGTCCTGCAGGAGAAGAAAGAAGAATTAATTAACAACATGTGAGATAAGAATGCACCAAATAAAAGCTTACTTTGTACATTTCTCCTAATTTGATTGCTTTAGTCACTGCACATAAACACAACACCAACACACATGCAGGAATCAAAACGGCAACAACTGCTTCCTTTAAAACGTTATCATAACCCTGGGAACATATAGATGTTTGCTGTAGCACAGGAGGAATCCTCGCTACAGCATGACCCGGTGTCACTGAGTGTCTATGTATGTCACAACATGTAACAGTCCAGGGAGCAACATCAATCAGAACAACTGCTGAAGGCTGGCAGGAGTCCTGCTTTAAAGAGTGGCCATGACCTGATGACACAGGACAATACCGCATATTGAGATATATGCGGCTCACTGGGTCAGATATTTGGCAGATATATAGTGGGATGGGTCAACGATCACATTAGTTGTAAATGTCTTCACTTGAATAACATGTCTTTATCATTCTAAAGCACATTCTTCAGCAATAAAGGAACACGCCTCGAGACATTTTTCGTATATAGAAAAATTGCATAGGCTGTAGATATTCACTCTCACACTAACTTTTCTTGGAAATGTCCATACTGTTAAAGCAATACATACTGTAGATATCACAGTTTGACAAAAGGTGGGAAACAAATCCCAAAATAGTCTGCTTTTTTTATTCTGATCGACAGGGACACTGTCACGTGTGCTTTCGAAAAAAAAGAGTGGGGCCAAACAAAACAATGCCACACCAAACTTCCTCTCTGAGACGTGCAGTGAAGAGGAATCTTTGAAGACTACGTTGTTTACCGGGAGGTGAGGGAGGGCTAGTGCTGAACGAGGTAGCCGTGTCTGTACAGTGTTGCACTGCCTTCAAACACCTTTCTGTTCACAGTGGGACTGACTGATGCTGACTTAGGGCTGCATACATATTCAAAAACACACAGACACAAAGCCACACTGTCACATACACGTAAACTACTGGGCCAGTTTCATTAGATTATGGCCTTAATCTCAAAGTGGCACTCTGCCAGAGGGTCCGCCACAGGTTTTACAAATTATTCAGTTTAAATATATTTCCCCACCAAAGTCATAGTTTAACACTAATGTTTAATAACAATATATAATACATAAACAAATGTTTTAATCTATAATAGTTCACAGATTACTTTACATCTACAACTTTAATATCTGTAAATATGCTGATTACATGTCCAATATGTTACTAATACATTTGTCTTGTGTTGTTCTTAAACATAGGCTAAATAAACCTATAATATATAAAAGTATTTTTCAAATATTTCCAATAATGCATGAGGGTGTCCTGGTTATCTGCTCTATGTTTTGAGGGGGCCTTGGCTAAGGAAAAAACTATTGAGAAACCTCTGGCCTTAAATTATCACACAAATGCCCCAGATTTACATTTGAATAATTGTATAAAAGATCCACAAAAACAAATTAATACACAATGCACATACATGTTTGTGAATAAATAATTATCAGGAATGCTTACACTTCATCTTCATAATCTTTCGGAGGGGAGACGGTGATCACAACATCGATCCAGTCCTAAAGGTAAAAACAACTTTTAACTTTGATTTTCCGCTTGAGTGAATATAAAATGTTTTATAAATGTAAAAAAAAGTGTGACAACGACATACACAAACAATCAATCAATGTTGACTGGGTTTAAGTACAATCAATACTGATGTTGCTACTGTGGTTAACATAAATAATCCTTTGAATGGAAGTACGACACATCATTTTCCTTTAATCTGAGTCATACCCCTCCACTGTTCCAGGCTCGTGCCAAAGCGTTTTGTCCCTCGGTCAATGTCGCATCAAGCAGGATCTTCCCATTCACAGCCATCAGTTCATCTCCGGGCACTACGCCACCTACAAGCAGACACATCAGAGATGGCTCACTGCCAGACATGTTTCATTCATGGCAAACTGAGTGGGAAGCTGCTGCAGAGATTAACAGCCTGCGTGAAGACTATCAAAGGGAAACATCATCCAGCAGCAACCAGTGTCAATCCCTGGCACATCCATGTTTAAAATGCTTTCAATAAAAAACACATTTGCCTTTTTTGTAATGTCCATGGATCTAAATGTAACATAGATTTTTCAGTGAGTTAATATTTAAAACAAAAAATGAACTAACCGTGCTTGTCAGCAGCGCCACCTTCATACACAGCGGATATCACTAACTTTCCCAAAGGAGAGTCTGCACCTCCCTCCAGAGCAATGTCAAGATGTCCGGTCTTGAAAACAATCAACACCATCCTCATGTTTTAAAATATTGAACATAAAGAAATATGTGAGATTTATTATATTAGAGTGAGGCAGAAGATGTACCTTTTTTATTCTTAGACGTCTTACATCTCGCCCGTCTATCTGATCCTGGGAGAACTAGAACCAAGAGAAGGATTAGGGAAGTTGAAAAGCCCAAAACAACACTGTGATTGCTTTGTAGTAATGGTAAAACAAATATTATAATAATAATATATATAACTGTTGAAGTAATACTGTTTTGAACCATTTCTAGTCAGACATAATTCAAAATGGCTGCCATGCGTAGGCCTATAGCACACACACTTTGTAACCTAAAGAAACTTTAGCCACAGCAGGTAATACATCCTATCAGACACAGAAAGTTGACATTTAAACTAAGCAGAAGGTAAAATATGTTAGCCGAGTACGTCTTTCATTTGAAATGCATACAATACCATTGAGTAGGGATCAAATTCTTCCTCGTATTTCTGAAATCCCTGAAAGATAATCAATTAAAAACACATCAATAGGTGGTTAACAAGCGACACAATGAAAGGAGAATTTCAAAGAAATCTTGGTGAAAGTCATAGAATGAAGTGCTCAGATTTCCTTTGACAACCAATTCTATGTAAACATTTTAATATCACCCTGAATAAACAGAAACCATGGAAACACTCAGGGACATTAATTCAAAAAGCACAGTGGCTCTCGAAGCCTCACACTTTAATTCAATGATGACAGGACGAATTAATAGAAACGCACACACAGAAAATCCTTTCTAACGGAGTTGGCGACAATTTAATTTTAAAGGTAGGAAACTGGACAAAGCCAGAGCCATTTTTCTCTTTGCAGAATAAACTCATATTAATCTAACTGTTCATTTCCTGTTGTTTTGCTCGAACACTCAACACTGGTCCGTTTCTTTTATAGGTTTTGATTTGTTGTGGCTGGAGTCAGCAGTTGAAATCAGCCAAAACAAACTAAGTGATGTGGTTTTCCAAACAATAAATACAGTCAATTCAAAGAGACTGCGGAGGTACAAAAAAACAACCTCATCACTTTCATAATGCTCACGTAACCAACCAAAACAGATCAGAAGTCAGTACATGACGAACAAACCATCTGTTGCCAGTAAAGATCAAAGCCAATAACTGCAGTAACACTGACATCAATTCCCACACTGTATGTCACTATAGTATTCTCCAAATCAATAGAAACCCTCTCGTGTACAGTTTACCCCGCAGTAATGCATCCAAGGAAAATGAGGACAAAATAGGAAGGAAGAGCCATGACAGGCAATAATGAGAAAACCTTATGTGTGAGCACAGACAAACCAATGCAGAAAGAACAGCAGAAAACGCACTCAAGAGTAATAACAAATCAACAGATGGTTATGGGTTACTTGTCGTTTGCTGTTAGATTTAAAAGACGAGTTGAAAGGCACCATCCGTTTCAGCATTTCCTGAGGCTGAAACACAAGACCATGAAATAACTTTTAGCGAACAAATGAAAACAAACCCTGACTTCTCCGCTGTTCCCTCAGATTGAAAGTTTTAAGTGTATACATTCTTGAGTTATTGCAAAAAGGTCAAAGTGACATTGACTTGTTGATACCAAATCTTAATCAGTTAATCCTAAAGTTTAAGTGGATGTCTGGGCGAAATTTGATGAATTTCTCTTCAGGCGTTCCGGACATACTGCTTTCATGAGAATGGGATGTAGGGGACAGGAAGAAAGCCTTATGACTCCTTCCACTGCTACTCCCATGGGAGGCCTAGTAATATAGACTATTATGAACCGTATCCTAAACTTAATTGGCCCTTTTCTCCATGCTGATAAACACATGGACCCTCAGAATTGGGTAATATACTGCACAAAACGTATCTTTGGGTTCAATATTAACGATTCAACTTAAATAAAACATGTAAACCTGCTTTTATATGCAGCAGTATAGTGTGCTGCAGCAGTGTAAACTACTGTAGCTACTAGGGGAAAACACGTGAGGGGAAAGTGAGTGATTTATGGCACCCCCTCCCTCTCCCTCAGTCAAGGTGCCTCTCAGCGGGGCGTTTCACCTCCAGCTGCAGAGGAGCTTCTGAACTGATGGTAGAATTGTGTAGTTTATCTTTTCAGGTGTATAAATGCCAGCACAGTACTGAAAAGTGTTTCTCCAAAATAAAAGCAGTTGAGCATGAAATGGCTCCCCTGTGGGATGTGAAAATGACAGATTGGGAACAGCTGGAGAGTCTGGAAAATTCAATAGGACTCGCTAAAGAGGCGGAGAATAATCTCGCACACAGTTGAGGGCACGCTGTGTCAGATGTCTGAATGTCTAATTAACTTATTACACTGAATGAGAGAAGATTTGAGTGTGTGGTGTGTTTCCTACCAGGGCCTCTGAACGGAGCGTAGGTCTGAGAGGGTCTGCTCTCTGGGTCTGGGACTGCGGCAGCATGACGGGTTTAGACATGACAGGGGTCATCTGACGCCTCTGGTTTGGGGGACTAGGAGCTAGTTGCTATTGAGGAAAGACCACGTTTTCATGGAACAGCTGAGTTTATGTTGATTCAAACAGTGTGTTCATTCAGTAAGTCCTTTGAAAACAAAAGCATCTGGTTTGGCTAGGATTTGACAAACGCATAAAGCTGAGTTGTCCTACAAATGGATCTTTTACAGAAAGACACTCACCAAGGGGGTGCTTGCACCGGAAACACGACTGGCATGAGAGGTATTTCTCATTATCTGAACCACAGTGAAATAAGATGAATCATTAAGCCCCCTGGCACATACAGTAGAGAGCACGGCTGGAATATCAGTGCAACACACTCACACACACACACAGGCTGGTTTCAACATATCTTATGAAATGCTAATGTGCAAACGCGTGCAAACATATAACAAATATAAATCATCTCCAAAGCAGACTGCTTTCATCAGCACTTCACACTTAAACAATCCACACAGCTATAAGGCAAACACCAATAACAATTAGAATCAATGCCTTCGCAGTTCAGTCCTGCTCTACCTTGTATCGCTCTCTCTTCCTGCATAAAACATCCCAATAAATAAAACAAGACATGAATGCACACACCCTTAAGCATTCAAGAGAATTGAGCTTTGCAGCCTTGAAAATGCATCGACTTAGCTTTGCATTTTCATAGGTGGAAAACAATCCATGACAATAATACAAATCACAGCACGTCCGTCACATGAGGGTCTCCAACCTTTGGACTGGAGGGGTAGGACATCTCACTGGTGTTGGACGAGTACATCCCCCCTCTTGGGAGATAGCCGCCTGACTCCCACTCACTCCTTTGCCCCGGAGGACTGGGGGGGTGTTGATGGTGTTGGTGTTGGTGGTGATGCTGATGCTGCCGGTACCCGCCGAGGGTTCCCACTCTATCTCCTGGGTGTTGTGGTGGTGGCGGCGGAGGGGGAGGCGGGGGCGGAGGAGGGGGGGGGGCGGGGGGTGAGGCCGTGGAGCCGGCTGTGGGGAGGACGGAGGCCTCGACGACTGAGACGGAGGAGGATATTGGGAGGAAGGCGGGCGAGGGTGTTGGGGAGGCAGAGATTGTGGGTGAGGCCTTCGTCCTTTGTTGGGTAGAGTAGACGGAGCAGAGGGAGGTTTTCTAGCGCTGGGTGGGGAGGGAGGGCGTCGCTGTGGGGATGCTCGAGAGGACGGAGGGGAGTAGTTGGGTATTGTGGGGTTTAGCTTGGGTAAGGGTGGAGGGAGAGGCAAGGGAGGGGGAGGGTAGCTGGTGCTGGGCTGGGTGGGGGCCAGTCTCTTCAGAGGACCCCTCAGGCTCTGATCCACGTCATCCAGGTTAATATCATCCAGATCAGTGGTGGCCAGGTGGAGGCCGCCAGGGAAGCGCTTCACTCGGGGCGCCGCAACGGGGGAGCGTGGGGGGGAGAGCTTGAAGTCAAAATGAAAAATGTTAATTCTCCTGTTGAGAATATACAACTCGGGAGGAAAACACACATCCATAAATTCTCTCCTGCAGATTAGTGTCTCATTCTTCTTGTTTTATTACCTGCGCCCAGGAGGTTATGTCTCTAGTTTGTTTGTCTGTTCATCAGCAGGATTGAGGTAAAGCTACTTTAGAATCCATTCCATTTGGAGCAATTCCAAACTGAAGTAGACAAACGCATATTTTGTTCACCTCTGGAAAAGATTGGCTCTAGTTTTGAGTCGGCATGTTGTCATCTTACTACAAATGCTCTGCGGTAACATAATGAAGACCCTTTGAGCAAAAACATAGTCCACACTATGTACAATATAAAAGATGGGAGTGGATTGATAAGAGTGTGGTCATTTTTTGTGCATCTTTTTGTGTAACTTCACAATTCAGTCACATTTTACTTCTCTCTTTTACTTAACTTCAGATTTCACTTGCTGGAAAATAAATTAAGTTTTGAGGTACTAGCAGGTGAAAAATGATTTGTCCAACTCTACAGTACATACAAAAAATAAGTGTGACGGAGGGACTCATAGTGGTGTAAAGGGCCTCCTTTTCCTGTCATTTCGCTCATCCGAAAAGTCAACGGTAACGGTAATGGCGGAAAGGTGTTCCCTTAATACTAGTATCAATGCTATGCTGAGAGCCCTATCAAAAAAAGGAGAATGAATGAGACAGTATATGGAAAAGCCAAACACTGTGAATAGCTCCGAGTGCAGACAGGTTTTGACAGTCTCACTCTGTACCTCTGGGGATTCATTCTCCACGCAGGATATCTGCTCCAGCCGAGTCTGGCAGAGACGCTCCACCCAGTGTTGCACTTTCTCCGACTCCTCCAGGTCTTCTCTCTCCGTCTCTGAGACCTGAGGCAGCGTCAGAATATAGCAGCGTTGTTGAGTGAGAGACATTGTGGTTACTTTTAGATAAAACCAAAACTTGAAACTCTGAAAGTTGCGATGAAGTACATTTGAAATATCAGTTGTTTATTATCGCTTTGGTAAGCCCCTCTTTTTGTACCTCCTGAACCAGCCGATTGATCTTCAGCTGCTTCTCTCGTTCATGCATCTCTTCCTTCTCCTTGGCGAGTTTCAGCTCAAACTCCATCTCCTTCTTGTTCTTTCTCAGCTCCTGCAGCGTGTCCGTGTTGGACACCTTTTTCTTTTTCTTCTTCTTCTCTCCTTTCTATCATCAGGTAGTCAAAATAGTCAACTAGAAGCAGACACAACTGCAACTCCAAACCAGGCAGCATGACATGCAGAAATACATATTGAGACCACGCTGTGATGACCGATAAAAAGCCCAGTAAACACCATGAAGTTTTCTAGATATTTCTTAGAACAAAAAGGGCTTGAATATGCAACAGCATCTTAGTCCGGATGACACAACAACCTTTCATATTTCCTTTGTAGCCACACCACACTGAACTCAGGCTGGGGACAGTACCTTGCGGAGTGAAGGCAGTTTTCCCTCATAGCGATAAAACCAGCCGAATGCTAAGGGTGGAGATGAAAACAGGTCACTCTCACAACTTTGTTAAACTCGTCCAAGGTTAGAACAGATTCTTAGCAAACTCTATAGAAACATAACACTAGAGAACCAAAACACAGCACTCAAAGATAAGAATGAGAGAAGCAGATTAAACCTGCTCCATTCAGGCACTCTGAATAACATCCAAAGACGCATCCCTGCGTTTAGTTTTTTGAAGAAAGGCAGCATTCAACTGCTAAAACATTTGTATCCTTCAGCAGCATCTAACAAGAGAATGCTACTCAAAGGACACTGAAAACACACTCTCCAAAGGTTACATTTTGGTTGTCAAAGGAAATCTTGCACTTTTCTGTGTGTACAAACATCCTCCCACGCCAGCTGAGACAATGGCAGCTGAGGCTCCAGACTCACTTGTTCTTCCTCGGTGTCTTCCTCTGTGAGGGAGCTGGCTTCGTCAGCTTACCGGAGAGTATGTAAAAAGCAGTACAGCACACAGAGGCGACAGGAAGAGACACAGAGAGCGTGCAAAAGAGAGGAGGGGATATAAGGTGAAACCCAGGCAAGAGCAACGTCTAAAACTCTATAGTGTCAGAGAAAATGTAAATATATAGGTTCAGGAGAAGACAGATCTGGCCTTACGTGAACTCTTGGATTTGGCGTTTTTTGTCTCAGGTGGGGCTGGGGACGGGCTCTTAGGGCTCTTGGGCCTGTCTTTGGCTCCCCAGTCCTCATCCCACTCTCTGTTGTGCTTCTTCTCCCCAGCCTCAATCCTGCAGAGGACAACAAAACACGTGAGAGATGTTTTTTTACCAGCCAAAATAATACTGAATTGGCACTTTTATAGAACAATAAATCAGCTGTTTACTTCTCCATCTCTTTTTTATAGCGATCCTCTTCCTCTGCGGCTTTCTGATTGATCTCCATCTTTCTCCTGTTAAACACATGATACATATACAAAATAAAACTGCTGTACCACAGGCTTTCAACATAAAATATGACTTTAATATTTGTTTAAGACATTGCTTGATCAAAGCACTGACAACAATGCGAGGATATAAATCTATGTATCGATGTAGGAGGTGAGCAATATAAAATAACCTGTTTACTTTCTTCTCACATGATTTATGTAGATGGGTGTTTGTGAAGCACATGCCTAGTTGACAGGGAAATTACATTTGTTCCCATATGTAGAGTACTCTGTTTCTTTGTTGTGTTGTGTTGTGGTGTAGGGAAGTCAAGTAATGCTATTGGGTGATTTCAGTCTCATATTGTCGCATGTTAGTATTCCCCAAGTTAATTACAAAAGCTGAGCCTTCCAGCTGAAAGTGGATTTTTGTATTGAGCTGTATCAACATGTCAGCCAACTGCCAAAAAAACAACACTTGTACTCAGTCCATTCTTTCTTCTGTTCCAGTTTTGTACTGCTTTTCATACAGGAAAGAAAATGTAAGTCATTGGTTGAGCAGCCAAGGTTGAAGCTACTTAAATCGCAACGCTACTTTGGATTATGAACTGTAAGGAAATGTGTATGTGTGAGAAAGATCAGTCATTCGTTGGTTTTAAATAATAATAATAATAACTTAAATGTATATAGCGCCTTTCATCAACCCAAGGTCGCTTAACAAAGAAACATATAAGGACAAAACATAAAATAAATGGAAGTGTTACATTGCAGGGGGGGAAAGAGTGAGTTAATGTTGGAAGGCTTTGTTGAACAGATGAGTTTTCAGGGTTGATTTGAAGATGTTCAGAGAAGGGGCGTTACGGATTTCTGCAGGGAGGGAGTTCCAGAGGGTGGGGGCAGCGACACTGAAGGCACGGTCCCCGAAGGGAGCGGAGGCGTGAATGGGGAATGGAGAGCAGGTCGGAGCCTGAGGATCGAAGGGTGCGGGACGGGATGTAAGGGTGGAGGAGCTCTGTGAGGTACTGAGGGGAGAGGGCATGGAGGGACTTGTAGGTGACGAGGGACTTGACCGGGAGCCAGTGGAGGTTGAAGAGAGTGGGGGTGATGTGCTGCCAGGGCTTGGTGCGTGTGAGAACCCTGGCAGCTGAGTTCTGGATGTACTGGAGCCTGTCCAGGGTTTTGCTGGGAACCCCGGACAGGAGTCCGTTACAATAGTCCAGGCGGGAGCTAATGAAACAGTGAATGAGCTTCTCTGCAACAGAGTCGGAAAGTGATGGCCGGAGTCTGGATATGTTTCTGAGGTGGAAGAAGGCTGATTTTGATACTGACTTGATATGGTTCTGAAATGAAAGGGTTGAATCCAATACAACGCCAAGGTTGCGGACCTGAGGGGATGGTGAGATGATGGAACCGTCGATGTTGAGGAGCAGATCTCCAACCTTCCCGAGCGGGGGGCCACAACCATGAGCTCAGTTTTAAATAGAAATTCTATCTTAGACACTTTATAAATGACAATTCATAAAGGGTTAATCTTGTTTGTGTTGTGACTGACAATTCCTTTTTTAAAACTAAATAAATGTATATTGCACTACCTTAACTTTTTGGACTTATATCTCTTATAGCTCATTACAAAGACTTGGATACTGTCATTATTCTTCAATATACAACAATAACACAATAAAACATTTCTCTCTGTGTGGTCCACTCACTGCCTCTCCTTCTCCTGCTGCTCTTTAACGATTTTGTTAGTCTCCAGGGCCACTCTCTTCTGGTGCATCAGCTCCTGCCGGTCCACCTCCCTGCGGGACTCCTCCGCCAGACGCTCCTCATCGGTCATGAACAGCTCCTTGCCCTGAGGGGGAGAGAGGCGATGATAAGGGACACACACCGTGTACAGCAGGGGCCCGCAGACTTCTTAACTCCCAAAAATAGTGTATTATTCTTAAATGATCCATTCTTCAACGTGGGTACTTTTGGGGTAATTTTTGAACTTTCCTCAATAACAAAAGTAGGACTTGTATAGTTATTCAACACTGTATGTTTCTACTTTCATCAAAATATAAGATCTGAGTAGTTCTTCTAATACAGATGATGACGGTGTATACATGCTAAAATATATAGAGAACACAATAGAAACACTGCTATGTATGAAGTTTGAAATATTTACTTAAAATGCAAACAAAGAAATGCATTGGACAGGCATCAAGTGAAACGGGAGATAAGAGGTTACAGTGGCCATCACCGAGTCCCGGGGCAACAACCTGCCGTGTGACTCCACTGATGATAGATGTTTCTCCTGGAGACAGACAGGCTGAGGCACACACTGGATAAAGAGATGTCTCCAAAACAAAAGCACTTGAATCTGTGTAGCTTGAATGCAAAGGAGGAGAAGGCGGATGTTTATGTATCCTAAGGTGTTCACTCAGATGTTACCTGCAACTCTTTTTCTTTCTTATCTACAAATGATTCTCTGATCCCAAACACTATTTACACAGCAAGCCATATTATATACCAAGGTTTCTGCAGGTTTGAAGACCTTGTATTTCCTTTTAAAAACATATAGAGAAACATGTATTACCAATGTTTATTTAGCAATCACACTGGCAGAAGTCTGAAAGAAAATAAGTCTTTAAGTATGTGGCATTATTGACATAAAGCAAAGTCATTATAACAGGAATCTACGTTTAACTCTAGCTAAATCTGAAACCTTTTTTTTCTACTGTAGCTTTTATTGTTTTCAACCAAAAAGCAAGACCTTGGTAAACTTTAATCTTAATAACAATAGGTTCCTCGCACTTCGTGCTAGGACGCCATTGGGTCCTAGCACGAAGTGCTCGGGCCCTAATAAAGCTGTTAAGATAGCAAGACAGTCACCATGGAGATTCATGGATGTGCTGAAAAAGTTTGACCGTGGTGGAAAATCTTCATTTTGTTAGTTTCTCCGCCGAACAATATATATATATATATACTTGTATTTCCGTGGTGTGGCATTGAGAATGAATTCAACAATACTCACAGAGTTTTGAGTCGAGCTTCAAAAGACCACAAAGTATTGGATTCCTCTAAAAATGTCTCATTATTTCTTTACAAAGCATAACGCAGTGAGAGTGTACTTACAGCTCCTGTCAGAACAGTAATGGTCAGGCTGCGGCTGCTCTTCAGGGCTCTCACAGCCTGGGGACATAATAACAAAAAATAAGGCCCCTTCATTTTGAGGTTATATTTGATGAATAAAATGAAGGGTTTTACATTAATGACAGTCTCAGAGAAATGCATGGCCTGTGTGAAGTATGTGTAATCTAAAGTGTATCCGGGTGTGAAATGATCTCAGACTTGTGGTAAATCCTGCAGGCTTTGTTTTCTCCCTTGGCAAATAACAAACAGTGCATGGAGGATGTTTTTCTTTTTACTTTTGCAAAACCATTTTGGCTGGTTAAATACTAATTTGGCTCAATGAGCTGACAAGTAGAACAAACATTGCCAGTGGCCCAGGCACAGTTTAAACAGATGCACTCATTGGGTGCTTTGGATAAAAAGGACCAAATGTACCAAATAATATGTCTTGGTCACAATAAAAACAACTTAGGACTCTAGCCGCCATTACTGCAAGTGGACTAAGTTAAGCACTATTTACCTCCTTGTGGTCCGCATTGGTGAAATCCACCCCGTTCACTTCCACAATCTGGTCTCCAACCTACATTTTGGGATGAGAGAGATCTTGTTTACAGCAGGCATGTATCTTAGTTTCATCGAGACGTTCTGGCTATTTTAAACAATCACCTCCAGTCCAACTTCTGCCGAAAGGGAGCCTGGCTTGACGTTACTGATGTAGATACCAGGTTTCTGGGTGGGACCAGTGGAGATGCTGATGCCCATCCCCTTGGTGCCCACCAGGCTGAGGAAGACCTTCTTCTCCTTGATTTCTTTGCCTCCAATGGACGCCAAGCCTGCAATGCTGTTTTTTTTCTCCTGTGGCAGAAATAAAAAGTCTGTGAGATGTCTGCAGTTGAGATACACATTTTGAAACTGAAATAAATAAATAAATCTGTCTCCTACCCCTGACTCAGATGCAAACTGGTCGACAAACTGCCACTTGAGAGGTTCCTCTGATGACCTGGAGAAAAAGAGAACAGATAAGAACACAGAGATCTCAGCTCTTTAGCCCCACATTTCACCATTAAATCAGCAAAATATTAATAATTAATTAATATTGTATCCATTATTTTATTTGTATTGTTATTATTATTATTATTTATTTACGGATTTGTCAACTGTTATGTAGTTAATTTATGTATCTATATGTGTTAATTTTGTTATGCATGCTTCGTGAATAATTTCTTAAAATGCAAATAAAAGAAAATAATAAATACAAATCTGCAAATGTAAACTATATTAACAGCAGGACTGCAGCTAATGATTTGATTTCATTGTAGATTAATCTGTGGATTATTTCTAGATTGATGTTGATCTATAAGAAAATATATCAGGAAAAAGTGAGAGTTTCTCAAAGTCAAAGTATTTTAATGTCATATTTTGTCCATCCCAAACCAAAGATATTCAGTTGAAGGTGATATAAAACCAAAGAAAACAGTAAATCGCTAAAAAAAAAAATTAAATAAGGAATGGCAATTATTGTTAATTTAACCTATCAAACTATCGTTGCGGCTCTATTAAGGATATAAATGTGTTTACCTTTTGATTGGGATCATCCCCACATCTGCACAAAAAAAACACCAAGTAAAATGAATGAATGATGACTTCGGGGAAAAACATTACTCATATTGATGCACATGGAAAATGAGTTTTTGTGTTTGACGTACGCCTGACTTTGAGTGACACAATCTTCTTGGTCTTGATGAGGCTGATGACCTCCTCGTGGATACAGGAGGAGATGGAGTATCCATTGATGCGCACAATCTCATCACCAACCTATAAATCAACACAGGATGGGATATTATGAGTGACACCTTCACTTCAATATATCAAGTTAAGTCAGAGATGAAGTTATTGGTTCTCCAACCATTTACATCCCTATCTGTTGCATATACCAGCCACAAAATGACCTTTGGATCGGATCTGTGTCAACTATTTATATTAGATGTCTAACATAACTGAGCTTGGCTAGCACGTGTCAACATAATCATGAACAATGTTACCACATATGTACATGTTGTTTTTATTCTGTCCTGTTGTTTCTATCCTGATTTATTTGTATCAATTAATTTGTATGGCTGTTTTAACAAGCACATCTACTTTAGGCAGGTCATTAAGCAGATTATAAAAGCATACAACGGCATATTGCAGTATTCTTTCAAATGACGCATCATTTAAAAAAAGTGTTTTTTCCCTTAACATTTTCACAAGATGGAGTAGTGATGCTGCAATGCTTTATTGACTGTATTTCTGTTTTTTATCCAGATGTTAGACGGCAGAATACTTAGGATTTAGTTAAAAAATGGATTGCAAGTCACAATATCTGACAGGTATTTTCTGGTCTCATCCAAATAAATACTTTTTTTTTTATTGTATTTATTGTATTCAATGTCCATCTAGTTTAAACTGGACCAACATTGACTAACAAGCAAACTGTAAGAAATGTAAAACTTGGTGATTTACCCCACCTATTGGATTCTGGTATTATGACACACGCCTCGGACACATAGGGATCATTACAATTTATTGTATCTACTGAAACAACAGTGGGTAATGCTTTATAATATACAAATTAATAAGTTTACTGATAAGGTGACATGTAATATACTTACAAACATTTATGAAGCACAATATATGTGTTTACTTTAACTACAATCAGCATTTAGTGTTTTAGGAATATAACACATACAGAGTAACATAAAGGATGGGGGAAACACAACAGTTAACACTCTCGTGCGTACCTGAAGGCCGACATTCCCAGCCTGACCGTCTTTGACAATCTGTGATATATAAAGACCGCTGCCAAACTCAAGCCCTCCTCGGACACTCAGACCCAGTCCATCACGATGTGTCCGATCCAATCTCACCTCTTTCAGCTTCCTGCACAGGAGAGAGGAAGAGATTAAACAGGATGTGCGAGCCAGGTAAGATTTAGACAAGGAGAAAGAAGAATGGAACCAAGAACAACACAGAAGAAGTAGGGCCGCTCAGGGATATTATTGCATAGTCAGATCTTCTATATATGACGTATTATATTATGTACACATGAGTGTTACACACGACATTCACACCAGTACCAGTAGCAGGACATGAGTCTATCATGCTTCACTCACCGTGACCTCTTCGGGGTCAGCAGGTCGTACTCCACCTGGTGTTTGAGGGGGATGAGAGGTCGGATGGCGTCAAACAACGGCAGGCGCTTCGGTTCATTGATGACCAGCTTCAGGTCCCCCACCAACACTATCAAATCCATCGACCTGAGAGAGAAGAGGGGAATAAATATGTCTTTAAGTTCATGTTCTTCATACAGAATGACTTCTACCTTCTGGAAAGGTAAAAATATGATTTAGTATAAATATAGTATTTACTTTTATTAAGTGAAATTAAAGCAGACTTTAGAATAAACTGAACCTGGGCTGGAGAAAAACCTAACAATATAATTTGATACAACACCTGATATTACACCAAAAACATACTGTTGACTTTTCAAAGTTATTTGGTTGTTATATTTATTTGTGTGTTAATGTTAGTCTGCTGCTATAGCCTGAGGATTTCTTCACTCAAGAGCACTGAACGGTAAAGTTTTAGGTTCCCGAAGTTGCTCTTTGAGAGGCTTTTCACACTTATGAATATGGATATCTATCGTTTTAATAATGCACATATAATACTTTAAATTGTCAGATTTAGGGACACTGAATGTAATAAAGACTAAAAGTATTAAAGGTGTCCCTAAAGAGTACTACACTAATTCAACATATCACTTCTATTAGATTGTCGGACTTATGGTGGACAGTTTTTTAAATTAACTATTTAGTATCAACAGAAGCTTCTTCCTTAACAAAACCTGGTGCCTACATTACCCACACTGCAACTTGAGAAGTTACATTTTGTTTGGGTATATTTTAAGCATAAGGATCTCGCTACAGAGGTCTGCTAAGCTCACTTCTTTCTACTTCAAACTTGTAGTTTTCACACCAAAACAACACTGACTCAAGTGTGGTCAATTCTAAATGCTGATGGAAGAAGGCAACACAATAATCCATATTTTACAACTCAAAAGCAATTAAGGCAGCAAATTAAAAGCTACTGTGTAAAATCTGTCCACCTGGCCTCCTCTTTAAATTATTAATAAGCGCTATTTCAGCCCTGTTTGGAGGATGAACATAAAAAGAGCTTTTGTGGATAACTGGCCAAGCTTGTCGGAGCACAGTGGAAACTGATCATAGGCTTAACCGCTGGTGCCACAGAGCTCTGGCTCAGTACAAAGATTAATGGAAACCTAGACCTTTAGCCCCCCCACCCCCCTCCAGTGCACCCCCATCCCAGCCCTCCAGGCCAGGCTGTTATCAGAAACCATGATTGAGCACAGAGTTTAACCTGGAGAGGTCTGTGTGCATCACAACAAGGTTGACATGATAAAGAGCTTTTGGAAACTATACATAGAGTAGAAAAGTTGTCGATGATCAGGTAGAGGTTAAATGGCAACAGAGAGCAAGTTGAAATTATGAACAAATCTAGAATTTTATCTTAGATTATACTATCTTTTTGAAATGCCACATGAGTTCAACTAGCAACACTTTTGATCAGTTCTGCTTCAAAATGTTAAGGACACAAAACTATCAAGCATTTCTTTCATAGAGGACTATATACCTGAAAATGAACACAATTTGTATGTCAGAGACAAATCAACAAAGGAAATTCAACTTTTACGCAGGTCTACAGACAATTAAACCACTGGTACTCACTGGTGATACATGCGGAGGACATCATACAAGTAATCGTTCTCTGCTTCATTTTCAATCAGCAGCTCCACCTGCAAGAAAGGACAAACATCTGGTGCCAATGTTCCTCTCACTGCTGAATCAAACACACATTGTACCTCTCTGCTGTGGTCCTGTCAACACCATAGGGGGGTGAGCCATCAGTGTGTGTGTGTGTGTGTGTGTGTGTGTGTGTGTGTGTGTGTGTGTGTGTGTGTGTGTGTGTGTGTGTGTGTGTGTGTGTGTGTGTGTGTGTGTGTGTGTGTGTGTGTGTGTGTGTGTGTGTGTGTGTGTGTGTGTGTGTGTGTGTGTGTGTAGGAGTCATACAAACCTGATGGCGGCTCAGCTGCAACAGAATGGTTTTGAGGAAACGCTTTGGCCAATCACTGATATAACACATTTCACTTTAAGTCCTTCTAAATTGTTCCCAAACTACAAAATGCTCCTCAAACCCAACCTGAGGTGTTTTTTCAGAGCTTTGAGGATGATGAGACTCCTTGGACTGAAGCAGGTGTAATGGACAGCCCTACCCTAACCATCAAACTACTGGGAGAGAATAATGGCAGAACAGTGGAGGAGAGGCTGAAGGAGGAAGGTCAGCAGTGTCATCTTACATCTCTGACACAAACTGAGGTGAACATTCACACACGCACACCACATCTTATGCCATACAGACTCAAACACAGATCTGCAAACAACGGATGTACACACGCACATTCAGTCACGTGTGTATAATGTTGGGGTGTGTGTGTGTGTGTGTGTGTGTGTGTGTGTGTGTGTGTGTGTGTGTGTGTGTGTGTGTGTGTGTGACATCACATTTATGATTGTCATAAATATCTTCTGCTCAGGGCAGTGAGGCACAGCCGGCCGCTCCTTCATGCAGACTTTGGCACCATAAACCAATAAGGAAAGATAGAATTGCTCAGTCACATACCAATTTTAAAAAGTGCACCATTCAGTTTGGAGCTTCAGATTGTTTTCACATAATGAAAAAGGGACTATGATAATGTCCTAAAAAGAAACAAAGCCCCATTGTGCCTTGTCCCTTAGCCCCTTGTCCCTTAGCCTCCAATTAAACTCGTAAATTGTCCCATCTCTTCGCTCAGTTGCTCATCTCTGGCACGCTCTGCATTATCTAATGCTAATTTGCCCTTTGTGAAGCGCCTGTAATATGTGACACTGCCTGCCTGAGTGCAGCACAGATGGCTGTCCGAGGATCCCTACATACACTGAAGATATCATGTTTCCATCGCCTGTTATTTTGTACTCATAGTTATCATTTCAGGGCTGTTATGTGCCAACACCAACCACAAAAACATGGTATAAATTATGCTTGATTCATAAAGCCACACATTTAAATAGCATTTATTGCACCTTGGACCTCAGCTGTATGATGTTTACATAATCTTGAAGAGGCATAGACAGGTACATTAAGGATGTCCTTCTATATAGCTTCTTAGAATATACTTACATTTAAGCTTTAAAGGAAAATAGATCCACTGAAGCCCATATTGTGTTCATAACTAATAGGAGATATGCCTTTAAGTACAATCCAACAAAACAGTTGCTGGGACTGTAAGATCCCTATGAAATTCGTCTAATAATAAACAACCCAAGGAAACCACTTATTTTGGTTGAATGAAAACACATTAATCTATGTGCAACTCTTATAGTGTTGTCTATTACTTCTCCTATGGGCTTAAATAGTTAATTATATGTTATATGTTCCCCAGAAGACACTCTCACACACAATATCAATTTTAGATTTGAGTTAGAAACATGCTTTTTGATTTGTTCTTCAAAAAGTAGCGTTTTAACAGAAACAATTTAAAGGATTTTAACTGTTTGTTTGTTTGTTTTCATGAGGCTTTCGGTCAGGCCTAACGTCCCAGAGAAAGAGACACCTGAGCCGGTGAGGGGATAAACCAGGTAGGAGAGGAGCTTTTTTTATGTCAACTTAAGATCAAATAAAAGGATATATCTATGCGACTAATCGGACTAATGTTTATCTCTTACCTTGTGCCGAAATTCCCGAGCAACTTTCCGCTCCATCGCAAAGAGACAGTAGCAAACAGAGCGACGTGAGATCCCAGTGACTGAAGTTTGATAGGACTGGTGAGATCATCAAGCTAGCCGGAGGAAAACTAAAGCTTCCGGTTAAGATTTGCATAGTAAGACAACTATTAACGAGGAAAGAAAGTTGGGTTAAGCAATTCGACCAAGGTGAATATTTATTTATTTTAAAACGTGGCTTAGCTTCCTTTTAAGTACATGTCACAGATTTGCATATTTCTTATTCTCCACGTTTCCATTTCAGCCTTTTATTTTGAAGGGATAAACGTTTATCTTCCGTTTTTCTGCAAACTGCAAGAGCTTTCCAAAGTCGGGCATTGCACACACAGAATTAATGCAAATGCTGTTGTGTAACAGTGGAGTTACTAAACTAAATGTATATGACCACATACACAAATACCATCCATAAATTGCGCCAGTTCAATGTAATGATTGAAACTTTAAAACCATTTTCTTTACTTTTTTCGATATTACAGTAACTTCCCGATGTTAAATCATCCTCCATCCCTGGTGATGTGTCTTCTGTCTGTTGATCCCTACTTTTCATGTCGCTCCCTGGTCGCTCCACAGCTCAAACCCAGTACCCTGGCCTGCCGCTGGAGGACCAAATTACTCCAACTTCGCTGCAGTTTACCACGAAGAAGACGACGACGCTTTAACTTCCGGGTTTCAAAATCCAGATGACAACAACAACCGGTAGCAACGAACCAACAGCACCGCTGAACGAAGACTTTTGAGACTGTGAGTAAGTTAAATGTAAAAGGATGCTAGCCAAAAACACCAGAAATAAATTAAATGTAGCTTTGTTGTTGTGCTGTTATATGCTTACTTTATTTTTGCTAAATCTAAAGTGTTTCCTTCAATATACCCCACAAAGGATCGACACAACTTAGTAGCTTTGCAAAAGGAAGTAACGTGCTTATTTGTTTTTGTCATAAAGGTACAGTTACAACTGTAGTCTTATTTAGCTCGATTTATGTTGAAATCTTCAACGTGAGTATACCGTTATTTCTAAAAGAGTAGTAGACTTTGCTTTTAAACGTCCCGCTCCCCCTGGCGCCCGACCAATGGAAACTCAGACATGCTGCACACTTCCCTTTATACAATATGTGTCACATTTGACTTTTATATTTTACAAACTACGCTTTATATGATCGTAATCCGACCACAACTCATGATAATGGGCATTTAAAAAGATGGCAATAAACTGTTTATTTGCTGTCAATATTTCAGTATTCTCAGCAATGATTTCTCACAGTGGCTCTCTGGGCTGACATCTCTGTATTAACATTGTATATTCCAATCATCTGTTTGGCCTCTTGATACAGAATTGTTTGCAGAAAGTATGTAATTGTTAGACAGGTATAAACAGTATTTTTTACAGTATTGATGACAACCACTTTTGTATTACCCTTTTGTTTTCAGTGTTATTGGGATGGGATCTCCAACAAAAGATGCAATACCACACAGGTAAGATCTTAAAGTCAGAGACATTTTTTTGTGCAATAGAAATGTTGCTGTGACACTGAGAGGGTCCATTGTCAGAAGATGTAATACTTTAACTGTAATCTCCCTGAATGATGCTTAGTCTTATAATGTCCCCCACTGATACATCCCTAAATCTTATCCCACATGGATTAAGTCTCACTCCTTAAGAGGGTTTAAATACCTTTTTTCATTCCTTTTTTTAATGCAGCAGGTACTGTAACGCATGGGGCAAAATGTAACAGTCTCTTTCTTGTTTCTACAGAACCAACCTTCGTACGCCTGGTCGAGAACCTGACTCCCCACTTCCCCCGATCCATGAGCGGTTGGCTTACCTGCGTCCCTCCAGGGAGCTGTTGGAGTTTTACAGACAGAAAATCGCCCAGTTTGACGGAGAGCACGAGGAGCTGCTGCAGATGCTGGAGAAGTACAAAGGCATCACAGAGGACCAGGTGAAACACAGCTAGGAGTCATATGTGATTATAATTTTTTTGTATGTTTGGCATGCATGAGTATAATTGCCTGTTTTTACTGAACTTCTGTGCGTCCTGGATTTCCTCTCAGCATAAACTACAGTGGGAAGTGCGACAGCGGGAGGGCGAGATTGCCGAGCTGCAGAACGCTCTGAGTGACATGCAGGTCTACCTTTTTCAAGAGAGAGAACAGTCTCTCCGGCTTTATGCGGAAAATGACAGACTAAAGATCAGGTGGGTGTACAGTTGATGATGAATCCAGTGGATATTTTGACCTGTATTAGCAGGAAATCACAGCTTTGATAATAACATGAATTAGGGCTGCTTTTAAATGTAGGTGTACCAGATCCATGTGGCTGCTATTATGCATGATTGTTCTCTTAATGGTACTTCATATTTGTTTAAACAGTATAACAGTGTATGATTTTCTAACAGGCCCTTTGTGAAACCACCTGTGTGGTTGAGCCTTTAATATCTGCTTTTAGCATTGTATTGTCATTATTTTTTCTCAAGCACTACTATTCAGTTATCTAACATTATTCACTGCTGTGCAGAGAGTTGGAGGACAGGAAGAAAATCCAGCACCTTCTTGCTCTGGTGGGTCCTGATTCCGGGGAGATCACATATTTCCACCGGGAGCCTCCTCACAAGGTACATGTTTACTTTATCGTTGATCTGTCTCACAGCAGCCTGTGCAGTTTATCCCTTTTATACATGCTAAATCGGCTGGCACACTTAAATGGAACTGGTGTTGTTCATGTGGCTCGAGATGTCTTGCATTTTTTAATTACATAGTCACATGTATTTTACAATACAATTACAACAAATAATTTGTATTACTTTATTTTTGCTCTACACTTTATTACTTGGGATTAAATATGACTCTATGCAAGATAAAAAGGTAAACAGGTAATCAATGTTCTGAACACAGCTGTTCTGTTGTATATCAGGTAACCATCACACAGAGGAAGTCCGAGTCCAGCTTGGAGGAACATCTCAATCTCAGGCCAACAAAGTTAAGACCTGCTGCGACCAGGAAAGGTTTGAAAACACTTTATGGCAAATGTCTTTTGTACAATTAATTTGATTTAAATGTTAAATACAGACAGACTGTGACATTTTCACTCCATGTCTGTATTTTTTTAGAGAGTGGCAGGAGATTAAAATCAGCAGAAGGGACTAATGGAGAGAGCTTGGAACAATACAAGAACGATAACCAGACATTGTTACTACAGGTAGGTCTAGGTGTCTTTCTGATGCGGGTAATAGAATGAATGTGCTTTCAATTTTCATAAAGAGAGCTACACATCACTATTCAACATTAATGATTACAACAGAAATGTGAAAAGAGTGATGAGAACTTTTTTCCCTTCTCTGCCTCCATGGTTTTGGCAATGATTTTACCAAACTATATTTGTATCGCTTGTGTTTTCAGGTGGAGGCCCTGCAGGCTCAGATGGAGGAGCAGACCCGTCTGGTTAGAGAGCAGGTGGAGTCTCTGATGGAGGATAGGCAGATTAAAACAGAGGAGGCACAGGCACAACGGCAGAAAGATCAGGAGCGGATATCAGCTCTGACTGACAAGTGGGTCTGCATTTTTTTTTTTATTCACAACTACTGTACTGTACTGTGTATTTTAGGAATGATGCTCTTTTAACCCTTTTTTTCATTTTGTGAACCGTCAATCCTCTTTTGCATTTTTTTCTTTTTGTAAACACATTTTTCTTTTTTTGTTTACACCTTAGGCTCCAGCGTACCCAGAACCTGTTATATGAGAGCACCAGGGATTTTTTACAGCTAAAGTTTGACGCCCGGGCTCATGAGAAGAGCTGGATGTCAGAGAAGGACCGACTGCTCAGGGAGCTGGACTCCAGCCACAACCGTCTGAGGAAGACCCCGTCTGCCGGCGCAGAGCTGGGCCCAAAGTGGCAGCCCAGCAGCAGCACCGCCCTGCTCCTCCCTCGGCCTCAGCCTGAGTTGAAGCAGTCGCTCAAGGATGAGCTGAAAGTAATATTTGTTTCGTTTTTTTATCCTGAAAGCATAGCCAGAACTTAAAATATATCTGCTAACTTATCACTTCTGCAAACTCACCTCAATATGAATAATCCTTCCCTTTGATGAAATATTAAGCTCTGTTTGTTTTAGGTTGTTTTTTTTTGTTTTATTTTATCTATGTCCTCAGGCAATGCAGGAGGATGTGAAGCAGGCCCACCGTCTGGCAGAGATGTACAGAGGGCAGTGCATTACACTGGAGACAGAGCTGTCCCAGATCAGAGAGGAGGGGGATGTGGGCAGGGAAATATTTAAGGTACCATTCCTGTGCATATACAGCTCTGATTTAATGTTCATATGTTATGCCATGTCCAAGTTTCTTGATACTGATGTTTGTTATTTTACCAAATGTTTTTGTGCAGGAGCGTTCAGACAAAATGGCCAAGCGTCTGCAGCTGATGACTCAGCGTTATGAAGCGCTGGAGAAGAGAAGGGCCATGGAGGTGGAGGGCTTCAAGACGGACCTGAAGCACCTCAGACAGAAGTTCAAAGATGTCGAAAAACAACTCCTCAAGGTGAAATGACTTGACCGATAATTGAACTTTTTCAACTAACCCCATTTTTTTCACTTTGTCTTAACTGTTTAAAAAAAAATGTGGGTGATTTTTGTAACGCCAACAAGCATGTTTTGAGCTCTCTATTTAACTTTATATAGAACTTTATTATAGTTAAAATGCAAACCGTTAAACCTGATGTACATGCATCCTCTGTGGCAGGTTACTCTGAATGTTGGGCCCAACCAGGACTTAGCCATTCTGCATGAGGTACGTCAGACCAGCGGCAGGACGAAGAAGGTTCAAGGTGAGCTGATGGCGCTGAAGGCTAAGATCTACGGACTGGAAAACGAGCTGAGATTCAGCTGAGGACTGGACTGTGGTGTCTACTGTCTGCCTGTAGAGGATAATCAATGTGCAGTTTATCTAAGTCATGTTTGTTTGTGCTACTGGATTTATAGCTTACACTTAGAATGAATGTTATTTGTATTTTGTACACTGGACTAATAAAGATGTTTTGCTA